TAGGGGGGGCAGTACCCGTAAGGCTGGTTTGTAGGGAAGCCCTTAAGTTTTTTAGGGGCAGAGCCCTGTGAAGGCTTTTTGAGGGCGGGGGACCCTTTGAAGGCTGGTTGGGAAAGGGGGGGGGTACCCCCCTGGCTGGTTTGGGGGGGGTGGTGGGGGGGGGGGGTTTTGGAAGGCAGGTTGTGGGGGTGTTCCTGTGAAGGCTAGGTTGTAGGGGGCAGTAGCTCTGTGAAGGCTAGGTTGTAGGGGGCAGTAGCCCTGAAGGCTGGGGTTGTGGGGGGCAGTACCCTGTAAAGGCATTTGTGGGGGGCAGTAGCCCTGTGAAGGCTGGTTTGGGGGGCGTACCCTGTGGGGAAAAGGTTGTAGGGGCATAGCCCTGTAAAAGGCTGGGTTGTAGGGGACGTAGTCCTGTAAAGGCTGTTTGGGGTCGACCCTTGAAGGCGGGTTGTGGGGGGCGTGTCCTAAGGTTTGGTTTTAGGGGGTGTAGTCCTGTAAAAGGCGGGTTGGGGGGGCAGGGGTACCCTTTTAAGGGTTTGGTTAGGGGGGCGGGGACCCGTGAAACGGGGTTGGGAGGGGCAGGGGTCCCCTGGGAAGGGGGTTTGGAGGGGCGGGGGTACCCTGTGAAGGCAGGTTGTGGGGGCAGTAGCCCGGAAAGCTGGGTTGTGGGGGCATCCCTGTGAGGCTAGTTTGGGGGGCGTACCCCCTGTAAAGGGCTGGTTTAAAGGGGGCGTATCCCTGTGAACTGGGGTTGTGGGGGCTTACCCTTGAAGGCCTTGGTTATGGGGCAGTACCCGTGAAGGCTTTTTAGGGGGGCGGGGGGTACCCTAAGGCTTTGAAGGGCAGGGGTACCCTGTGAGGGCTTGGTTGAGGGGGGGGGGGCCCCTGTAAGGGGCTTGGTTGGGGGGGGCGGGGGGAGCCTTAAGGGCAGGTTGTAGGGGTTAGTCCTTAAAGGCCCAGGTTGTAGGGGCATACTCTGTAAAGGCTAGTTTGGGGGGCAAAACCTTTAAGGCTAGGTTGGGGGGCATAGCCCTTAAGGAGGTTGTAGGGGGCTAGCCCAAAGGGTAGTTGTGGGGGTCATAGCCCTGTGAGGCAGGTTTAGGGGCGTAGCCCGTGAAGGCTGGGTTGGGGGGCCTGTACCCCCCTTTAAAGGGCTAGTTGTGGGGGCAGTACCCCTTGAAAGGCAGTTGTGGGGGCCTGTACCCCGTAAGGCTAGTTGTAGGGGGCGTACCCTGTAAGGGCAGGTTGTAGGGGGCATAGCCTGTAAAGGGCTAGGTTTGTGGGCAGTACCGGGGAAGCTAGGTTTTTTAGGGGGCATATCCCTGGGGAACCTCTCGCGGGCTCTGGCCCCCAGGTTTTGTGTGTGTTGGCCCCTATGACCTGGTCCCCATTGCCTGAAGCGCTAGAGCATTCTGAAAATTTAGCCCCATGTGGACGAACCCAGGGTCATGTCACCCCCTTCCCTCTCAAGGCATTATGGGGCTGCGCTTTAAAATCGTAATACATGTACGGGTTGGGGCTCCCTAAAACCACTAATTTGGGGTTTTTTTCTAGCTGGGGGAAGCAAATTCGGGTCGATTACTTCCTGGTTTGTAATTGGCCCCTTTTCCCCCCCCTCGAAGCACATCCTGAACAGGGAAGGGACAGCATTGGAGCCCACCTACACCTTGGTAAGACCCACACCACCTTGGTAAACACACACACCCCTTGGAAAGACCACCACCCTTTGGGAAGACACACACAACCTTGAAACCCACCACCTTGGAAACCCAACACCTGGTAGAACCCCCCCTTTGGTAAAACACACACCTTTGGGTAAGACACACACACACCTTGGTAAGACACACACACCCTTGTAAACCACAACCTTGGAAAGCCCCAAAACAAAACCGGGAAAAGAACCCCACACCTTTAAACACCCCACACCTTGGAAAACCCACACCCCACCTTGGAAAACCCCACCACATTTGGTAAACACCACCCCTTGGAAACACACACACCCCTTGGTAAGAAAACCACACCTTTTAAAAACACACACCCCTTGGAAGACCCCCCCCAACACACAACACCTTTGGAAAGACCACACCCCTTGGGTAGAAAAAACCACACCTTGTAAACACACACACACCTTGGGTAGCCCCACACACACACCTTGGTAAGACACACACACACCTTGGTAAGACAACACCCTTGTAAACACACACACCCCCTTTTGGAAGAACCAAAAAAACATGGCACTTTTTTTCATTCAGCAAGTTTTTTTAGAATACTTTTTTTTTAAATTCCCAAAAGAAAAGTGTGTTGTGTGTGTTCTCAGAGTGGGGGGTTTCCTCCCCCCTCCCCCCTTGCAGGTTTCGGGTCAGGGGAAATTGGGTTCAGGGGTCGATGCAACCGATTGGCAGAGCTTCCTCTCCCCTCACTAAAACATACCTCCGTTGAACACCCCAACCACCCTCACTAACCCCCATCCCACAGGGGGGTTTAGACGGACGCCCAAAAAGAACGTTGACGCCACATACACAGACCACCATATGCCTCCAATCGAGATGCCCACCACCCTAAACACACCATATAAACCCCCAATCAAGCAGTCCCCACCCTACAAAACCATTGCCCTCCATTCGACTTCCAAACCACCCTACACCCCATATCCCGCCATTTCAAATTCCTCCCACCCTAAAACCCCATCCCTCCCAAATTTTCAAGATTTCCTACCACCCTACAACTCATAGGCCCTTTCCAATCGAATTTCCATCCCCACCCAAGACCCCAAATTCGGGCTGTCCTACCACCCTGACACATTTAAAAAATGACCTGCCAAAATTAGATTTCCTCCAAAACCCTGACACACCATTACCCCCAATTAAAATTTCCTACCCCCCTGACCAAAATGACCTGCCATTCAAAGTCCCCCACCCAAACCACCCATATACCTCCTTTTCAGAGATGTCCACCCCCGACACACATAAAAACCTGCCATTCAAGATGTCCACCCCCTGACACATCAATTACCTGCCTTTTTTCAAAAGGGGGGTCCTAACCACCCTGACACACCCCTGACCGCCAATTCCCCGAGCTTCCTCCCAAACCCCCAAAAAACCTACCTGCCCTGTTTCGTATACCACCCTGTTCAAAGGGAAAACGGCACAGACCATGAACACAGACGCACGTATATGCATACCCATTGTCCTTTTTTTTTGGTCAAGGAAAGCTTTTTTTTTTTCGATTTTTTCATAACCGGTAAAAAAATTTTTTTTTTTTTCTCCCTTGGGGAAAAGTATTGCTCATCGAAATTTTGGGATGCAGAATCTTAGTTTGGCCTAAGGCTATTTTCTTTAAATTTATGTAAATAAATTGGCTTTTTTTTGGTGTATCAATGTTACTGAACATTTTTCATACTTTTTTTCAATTGCCTGTTTTTTTTGCGTTTGATGCGCTAATAAAAAAAATTTTTTTGGCCTTTTTTTCAAACACCTTTCCAGTTCCTTCCCCGCCAGAATGGCATAGACCTTTTGGTTTTTAGTGAGGGGCCATCTGGGGGGCTGGGGCTGATCATCTCCACCAATCAAAAACCATGCCACCGAGGCAGGGGCCGCGGAGCGCGACAAAAGGGAAAGGGACCGCCCAATGCCCGAAGGGGGAGCGGGTAAAAAATTTTTGTAAGCTGGCTCGGGTGGCATATTTGTAGGTTTTTTATGGAAACAAATGCAAAGGGCACGCGATTTCTATCTAAAAACCCCATAACTAGAGTTTTAAAAAAAGCAATTAGGCCCATGAAAGGAAAAAACCTTAGGATTGGGAGAAATAGGATGGAATAAAGGAGAAGCATTTGAATTTCCTTTCCTGTGCTAAAGGGGAAATGTTGGTAAAGAGGGGAAGTGCACGCGGCTTTTAAAAACCCAAAGCTTCACATCACCTCCGAAATGAAAGAAAAACCCGGGCAGCTGGCTAACCCGGGCTTACCAACCGTAAAAAAATAGCCGCAAAAACACACCATCACATGTCTGCATGCAGACCCCCTTCGCTGCCAATTTCAGGGGCCCATTGGTAGCAAATGCGCTTTTGGGGGCAACAACCGAGTCCGACATCTCCTTTTAACCCCGTTTTTTTTTTTGGAGGTTGTGCGGGCATTGAAACTCTCTGCAAGGCGTTTTTGCCTACCAAAAAGGGATTGGGGATCGAAAGTTTTGTTTATATATTGTTCTGTATCGGGATCGTAAATTAAGGGCAGAGGAAAAAGTACTTTGGATAAAAAATTTTGGGGCAAACTGGGCCCGAATTTCACAAAAGACAATCGGCACCATTGGAAATTTTTTCCCCTATAAAATGAATTGCTGTTACCTTAAAACCCGGGTTTAAAATTTTTGGAAAGGCTTTCTCCGTTTATCCATGGAACCCGCTGCCTATAACTTAAGGCTCCCAAACTGAAGAAATAAAAGAAAAACCAAAGGGGTGTCGTGTTTTGTTTTTTTGTTAATTTTCGGGTTTAGCCACTTTTCTGTGGTTTTGGGGGGGAAAACGGTGCTTTTTTTTTCGATGAGGGCAAACCTTCTTTTTTTGGGGAACCTATAAAATTTTTTTGGGGGTTTAAATTTGGTGGCTTTTTTTGGCTTATCCCCTGTGGGCTTAAATCGTTTTTTTGGGGTAGGGGGAAAATTTTGGTGGTTGTCAATGTTGGGGGGTTTTTTTTTTTTTTTTGGCCCATTTTGTTTTTTTTCGTTTTTATGTGTTTTTGGGTTGTTTTTGGGTGGTTTTGGGGTTTTTTTTTGTTGGGTTTTTTGGTGGTGTTTGGTTTTTTTTTTTTTTTTTCCCTTTGTTGTTTGGGTTTTTTTTTTAAAAATTTTTTTTTGGGGTTTGGGGTTTTTTTTGTTTTTTTTTTTGGGGTTTTTGGCGGAGGGAGGCAACAATATCAATTTTCAGATTTTTTTCGTCCAAAAAAAAAACGTTGACCTTAATTTAAACCAAGCAGAAAGAAAAACCGCCACAAAAACTTTGCAGTGAAGATGGTCGCGGTGTAAAAGGGCTTTAAAAAGTCTAAATAAAAATTCCAAAGACATTTTTAACGTACCCAAGCCGGGCATTACAAAACAAAGATTTTTCGCAAGCGCCATGGGAATGTGCAAAAAAGGGGAGCTTGATAAAAGGCAAAACGGATTTTTTTCCCCAACCCCCCCACGGGGGGAAAAAGCCGGATTAGTGAGGTAAAACGGGGGCCAACACAGAGAAAGGGAGACGAAACAGGGGAACCAGTGAAAGGAGGGAGGGTTTAAGATTATTTTCACCCGAGGCGCCCAAATGGCCCTATTTTCCAAAAAGCACATACCCCAGGCCTTTGGGGAAAAGTGCCTCATAGAAAAGGGTGCCATCAGGGGTTCCTATGACCAATTCGATCAGGCCAAGTTTTGGCACCCACCACCAACCTAAATTTTCATTTTAATCCTTTTAAATTTTTTTGTTTGTTTGCCTCCCGGGGTGCCAGATGGCCCGCTGGCAGGGGGGACTATCAGGGGCCCATTTAAACAGGGAGCTCAAACAAACACAGAAAAGCGTTTTTAAAGACAAAAATTTTTCAAAACCCGGGCTGCTACAAAACAGCACAGACACAGCAGGCACTGTTGCTGGGAAAGTAATTTAGTTCCTTTTTGCGCCGAAGACAATCCCCAGTTTGGGGGGCACCCCCAAAGGCACCATCCCATATATGCACCTTTTTGACCAGGGTCCCCATGGGGGGGTTTTGGTCAAGGGGCACTATTTTGGGAAAATGGTGGGGCCCTTTTTAAAACGCCTTTTGGTTTTCCCGGGTTTTTGGGGATGATCGTTTTTGCCAAAGACCCGGGCCCTAAAGGGAAGGGGTAGGAACCCTTTCCCCCAACCTAGTCCCCCCCGGCCACGCCTCCCGGGGTTTCTCCCCAATTGCTACTGGCGGGAAAATTGGGTTTCTTTTTCCCCCCAAACCCCGGTTTTCCCCGAAATGGTTGGGGGAATCCGGATTTTTCTGCTTACCCCCCGATTCAGAATCTTTTAAAACCGGGTTTTTTGGGGAAAAACCGGGGAAATTTTGGGGAAAAATTTTTTGCAAACCCCAATCAAAACACTGGGGCCTAAGCGGAGGGGGGGGGGGGAATTTGGGGAATTTTGTTGTTTTCTCTTTTTCTTCTTTCCAGTGGGCGGGGGAAGGTGAAGGGGACCCCGGGAAACCCTCCCCCCCCCCCCGGACGGGGGGTTCACGTCCGGTGTAGGGGAAATGTGTCGGTCGTACGGGAAACCAAAAATCCGAAAACTCAAATTTACCTCCAAAACAAATTTAGTAAAACCCCGACCTAAAAAACCTTACCAGTCTAACCCTAACCGATACCATGACACTGACCCAGTTCTTTCTGCCCCTTGGGGTATTCAATCAAACGGTTTTCCCCGAGGGCCAGGATAAACAAAACACCACTTCACCCCCAATAAGCGGACATGTTAAATTTATATAAATATGGACTTAAGTTTTAAAATTTAAAGGGGGGTTTTTATCCACAACCCGATATGGCCAACACCTAAAAAGTTTTATGCCTCCAGTAGGGGTGAATATTTTCCGACATTGTAAAAACGAAAACGTTCCTTAAAAACCAATTTTCTCTTCTTATAAGGTTTTTGTTTCAAAAATCTCTGCCCGTAGTGCGTACGTAGCTCCACTACACACACTCATTAGTTTGATTTTCCGAGCCCCCAGACCATTACAAAGGGCCCTGGATTTTTAACCTAGTAAAAGAAGGAGTAGGGGGGACAGGGGGTAACCACCAGAGAAAGGGATAGGGGGGAACGGGAGGGAAAACCCAAAAGGGGTAGGGGGACGGGAGGAAAAAACTCAAGAAGGAGGGGTTGGGGGAAGGGGGGTAAACACCAAGAAGGAGGATTGGGAGACGGGGGGGGAAACACTCAAAAGGGGGAGTTGGGAACAGGGTAAAACCGAAAAGGGGGTAGGGAACAGGGGGGAAACACTCAGAAGGAGATAGGGAGACGGGAGGGAAAAACTTTAGAGAGGGGAGTGGGAGACGGGGGGAAACCTCAGAAAAGGTGGGGGACAGGGGGTAAACACTCAAGGAGGGGGGGGGGTAAACCTCGAGAAAAAGGGGAGTAGGGGAAACAGGGGGAAAACCCCAAAAAAGGAGGATAGGGGGGCAGGGGGGGTAAAAAACCAGAGAAGGAGGGTAGGGGACAGGTGGAAACCTCCAGGAATAGGGGGACAGGGGGGGAAAAACTCGAGAAGGAGGGGTAGGAACAAGGGGGGAAAACCTCAGAAAGGGGGATAGGGAGCGGGGGTAAACACCCGAAAGAGGAGTAGGGACAGGTGGGAAACCCAAAAGGGGGGTAGGAACAGGGAGGTAAACCCAAAAAGAGGAGTAGGGAGACGGGGGGTAAACCTAAAGGAGGGAGGGGAAAAGGGGGGTAAAACCCCTCACGGGGGAGTAGGGGGGCGGGGGGGAAAACTCAAGAGGGGGAGTGGGGGACGGGGGGTAAAAACAGAGAGGGGATAGGGAGACGGGTGGGAAAAGTCGAGAAGGAGAGAGGGGACGGGGGGGTAAAAACCCCAGAGAAGGAGGAGTAGGGAGAAAAGGGGGGTAAAAAATCAAGAAGAGGGGTAGGAGACAGGGGGGTAAACCTCAAAAAGGGGAATAGGGAACAGGGGGGTTTTAAAAGCTCAAGAAAGGGGAGTGGGGGGCCGGGTGGTAACCTCAGAGAAGGGGGGAGTGGGAGCGGGTGGTAACCTCAGCAGGAGGGGGTGGGAGACAGGGGGTAAAAACCCCAAAAGGGGTAGGAAAAAGGGGGGGGAAAAACTCAGCAGAAAATTTAACGGGGGGTAAACGCTAAGAAGGGGAGTAGGGAGACTTAAAACCTCAGAAAGGAGGGGTAGGGACAGGGGGGTAAACACTCAGAAAAAGGGTAGGGAGCAGGGGGGTAAACCTCAGAGAAGGAGGGAAAGGGGAAAAGGTGTAAACACTCATAGAAGGAATAGGAGACAGGGGGGGTAAAAAACCCCTCAGAGAAGGAGGGTAGGGGACAGGGGGGGAAAAACTCAGCGAGGAGTGGGAACGGGGGTAAAAACTCAAAAGGAGGGGTAGGGAAACGGGGGGGAAACACTCACAGGGGGAGTAGGGAAAGGGGGTAACGTAAGAAGGGGGTAGGGAAAAGGATGGGAAAAACCCAAGGGAGGATAGGGAACAGGGGGGTAAACCTCAAAAGGAGGGGTAGGGGGGGACGGGTGGTAAACGCTCGAAAGGAGGAGGGAGGAGACGGGGGGTAAACCTCAGAGGAGGGGTAGGGAAAGGGGGTAAAAACACTCGAGAAGGAGGGGTAAGGGGGGACAGGGGGAAAAACTCAAAAGGGGGGGGGAGGGGAAAAGGGGTAAAACCTCAAGGGTAGGGGAAAAGGGTGGAAACACTCGAGAAGGGGAGTAGGGAGACAGGGGGGGGAAACCCCAGAAGGAGGGGTAGGGGAACGGGGGGGTCACTCAAAAGGGAGGGGTAGGGAAAAGGGAGGGAAACCTCAAGAAGGAGGGTAGGGAACAGGGGGGTAACCTCAGAGAAGGGGATAGGGGGAAAAAGGGTGGTAAACACCAAGAAGGAGGATGGAACAGGGGGGAAAAAATAAAAGGAGGATAGGAACAGGGGGGAACCCAAGGAAAAGGAGTAGGAGCGGGGGGAAACCCCAGAGAAGGAGAGTGGGAGAAAAGGAGGTAAAACCCCAGAGAAGGGATAGGAACAGGTTGTAAACCCCAAAAGAGAGTAGGGAAACAGGGGGGAAACCCCCTAGGAGTAGGGGGGCAGGGGGGGGAAAAACCAGAAAGGAGGATAGGAGACAGGGGTTAAAAACTCAAGAAGGAGGAGTGGGAGACAGGTGGGAAACCTCAGAGAAAGGGGAGTAGGGAACAGGGTGGTAACACTAAGAAGGGGAGTAGGGGGACAGGGGGGTAAACCCCAGAGAAAATAGGGAGACGGGGTTTAAACTCAGGAAGGGGGAGTAGGGAGACGGGAGGTAAACGCTCAGAAAGGGGGAGGGGGACAGGGGGTAAAAAAACTCAAGAAGGAGGGGTAGGGAACAGGGGGGTAAAAACCCCACAGGGGGATAGGGAACAGGGGGTAAACACTCGAGAAAGGGGAGTAGGGAAACAGGGGGGGAAACCTCAGCGGGGGATAGGAACAGGGGGGTAAAAGCTCAGAGGAGAGAGGGGACAGGATGGGAAAAACCTCAGAGAGAGGGGTAGGGGACAGGTGGTAAAAACCTCGAGAAGGGGGATAGGGAGACGGGGGGTAAACGCTAAAGGGGGAGAGGGAGACGGGGGGGAAAAAACCCCAAAAGGAGGGGTAGGGAAACAGGGTGGGGAAAAACCAAAAAGAGTAGGGGAACCGGGTGGGAAACCTCGCAGGAGGAGTAGGGGGGGCAGGGGGTAAACAAACCCAAAAAGGAGAGTAGGGAAAAGGGGGGGAAACACCACAGGAGGGTAGGGGGACGGGGGTAAAACCCCAAAAGGGGGAGTAGGAGACAGGATGGTAAACATCAAGAAAGGAGTAGGGAGAAGGGTGGTAAAAAAACCCGAAAAGGAGGAGTAGGGAACGGGGGGGAAACCCTCAGAGAGAGGAGTAGGGAGACGGTGGGAAAAACTCAAGAAGGGGGAAATAGGGAAGGGGGTAAAAAACTCAAGAAGGAGATAGGGAGACAGGGGTAAACACCAGAGAGGGGGATAGGGGCAGGGGTGGAAAAACCACGGGGGAAAGGGGGAAAAGGGGTAAACCCCTCAAGAAGGGGGGACAGGTTGGAAACACTCCAAAAGGAGAGTAGGAGAAAAGGGGGGAAACACCACGGATAGGGAACGGGGGAAAAACCCCAAGAGGAGGGGTGGGGGGCGGGGGTAAAACCCTCACAGGGGAGTGGGAACGGGGGTAAACATCAAGAAGGGAAGAAGGGGGAAAAGGGGTAAAACACTCACAGGGGGAATGGGGGACAGGGGAAAAAATCAAGAAGGGGATGGAACGGATGGGAAACACTCAAAAGGTGGAGTAGGAGCGGGGGGTAAACCTCAAAAAGAGGGGTAGCGAGACAGGAGGTAAAAACCCCGAGAAGGGAGTAGAGACAAGGGGGAAACCCCCAGAAGGGGGATAGGGAACTGGGGTAAAAACCCCAGGAAGGAGGATAGGGAGACGGGAGGTAAAAACCCCAAGAAGGAGGGGTAGGGAGACAGGGTGGTAAACCCCAGAGGGGAGGAGTAAGGGAAAGGGGGTAAAAGCTCAGAGAAAGGAGTAGGAGAAGGGGGGGAAACACTCAGAAAGGGGGGATAGGGAACGGGAGTAAACACTCAAAAGGAGAGTAGGGGGACAGGGGTAACCTCAGAAGGGGGGTAGGAGACAGGGGGGTAAACCTCAGAAAGGAGGAAGGGGACGGGTGGTAAAAAACTCACAGGAGGAGGAGTAGGGGACAGGGGGGTAAAACACTCAGAGAAGGAGGAGTAGGGAGACAGGGGGGTAAACACTCAGAGAAGAGGAGTAGGGAGACAGGGGGGTAAACACTCAGAGAAGGAGGAGTAGGGAGACAGGGGGTAAACACTCAGAGAAGGAGGAGTAGGGGACAGGGGGGTAAACACTCAGAGAAGGAGGAGTAGGGAGACAGGGTGGTAAACACTCAGAGAAGGAGGAGTAGGGAGACAGGGGTAACACTCAGAGAAGGAGGAGTAGGGAGACAGGGTGGTAAACACTCAGAGAAGAGAGTAGGGAGACAGGGTGGTAAACACTCAGAGAAGGAGGAGTAGGGAGACAGGGTGGTAAACACTCAGAGAAGGAGGAGTAGGGAGACAGGGGGTAAACACTCAGAGAGAGGAGGAGTAGAGTGGACAGGGTGGTAAACACTCAAGAAGAGGAGTAGGGGACAGGGTGGTAAACACTCAGAGAAGGAGGAGTAGGGGACAGGGTGGTAACACTCAGAGAAGGAGGAGTAGGGAACAGGGGGTAAACACTCAGAGAAGGAGAGTAGGGAGACAGGGTGTAAACCTCAGAGAAGGAGGAGTAGGGAGACAGGGTGGTAAACACTCAGAGAAGGAGTAGGGAGACAGGGTGTAAACACTCAGAGAGGAGAGTAGGGAGACAGGGGGTAAACACTCAGAGAAGGAGGAGTAGGGAGACAGGTGGTAAACACTCAGAGGAGTAGGGAGACAGGGTGGTAAACCTCAGAGAAGGAGGAGTAGGAGACAGGGGGTAAACACTCAGAGAGGAGAGTAGGGAGACAGGGGGTAACACTCAGAGAGGAGGATAGGGAGACAGGGGGTAAACACTCAAGAGGAGGAGTAGGGAGACAGGGGGTAAACACTCAGAGAAGGAGGAGTAGGGAGACAGGGGTAACACTCAGAGAAGGAGGAGTAGGAGACAGGTGGTAAACACTCAGAAGGAGGATAGGGACAGGGTGGTAAACACTCAAAAGGGGGAGTAGGGGGACAGGGGGGTAAAAACCTCAAGAAGGGAGAGGGGCAGGGGGAAAAAAAGAGAAGGAGGGGAGGGGAAAAGGGGGAAACACCAAAAGGAGAAGGGAGGGGGGGAAACATCGCAAGGGAAAGGGAGCGGGGGAAACCCCCGAGAAGGGGGAAGGGGGCAGGGGGGAAACACCAGGAAGGGGAGAGGGGGAGGGGGGAAACGCCAAAAAGGGAGTAAAAAAGAACTATACTATCATACTATAATCATACATACTACCCCTACTATACTTTTAATAAACACTAACTATCATACTATACATGCAACAATACTATACTATTATACTATAATATATGCTATACAACATCATGCTATACTATCAACTAACTAATACTATCAACTATACTATCATACATCATAAAACTATACTACCCTACTACAATCATACTAACTATACATCATATACTAACATCATACTATCATATCATACTATACAACTATCATAACTATACTATCATACATACTATCCATACTATAATATCATACTATACTATCATAGCATACTATCATACTGTAGCAATATGTATGCTAATGTGCATTTATTTTACCCCCAAAAGTTCTTTCCGTTATCTTGCAGCTACGGCCTGCTGGGTCGAGTGGGGTGTGGGAAGACCACACTGTTGAAATGTATTGTGGGAACACTGAAGATCTCCGAGGGCACCCTCAGCGTGTTTGGGGGAAACCACCCGCATTCCTGGTCACCAGGTCCCTGGGAGGATGGTGGGGGGTACATGCCAAGGTAAACTGTACCCTTTTAGGAACACCCACATACCACAGGTAAAATGTTAACCCTATAGGAAGACTACATACCACAGGTAAACTGTTACCTTATAGGAAACACATACCACACAGGTAAACTGTTACCTTATAGGAAAAACTACATACCACAGGTAAACTGGTTACCTTATAGGAACCTACATACCACAGGTAAACTGTTACCTTATAGGAAGACTACATACCACAGGGAAACTGTTACCTTATAGGAACACCTACATACCACAGGTAAACTGTTACCTTATAGGAAACCCCTACATACCACAGGTAAACTGTTACCTATAGGAACACTACACCACAGGAAACTGTTACCTTAAGGAAAAACTACATACCCCAGGTAAACTGTTACCTTTGGGAACAAATACATACCACAGGTAAACTGTTTACCTTATGGGAACACTACATACCACAGGAAACTGTTTCCTTTTAGGAACACTACATACCACGTAAACTGTTACCTTATAGGAAACACTACATACCACAGGTAAATGTTACCTTATAGGAAGACTACATACCACAGGTAAACTGTTACCTTATAGGAACACTACATACCACAGGTAAACTGTTACCTTATAGGAACACTACATACCACAGGTAAACTGTTACCTTATGGAACACTACATACCACAAAGGGAAACTGTTACCTTATAGGGAAAACTACATACCACAGGGAAACTGTTACCCTTTTAGGAACACTACATACCAAAAGGTAAACTGTTACCTTATAGGAACACTACATTTCCACAGGGAAACTGTTTCCTTATAGGAACACACATACCCCCAGGTAAACTGTTACCTTATAGGAACACTACATACCCACAGGTAAACTGTTACCTTATGGGAACACACATACCACAGGTAACTGTACCTTATGGGAACACTACATACCACAGGTAACTGTTACCTTATAGGAACACTACAACCACAGGTAAAATGTTACCTTATAGGAACACTACATACCACAGGTAAAACTGTTACCTTATAGGAAGACTACATACCCACAGGGAAACTGTTACCTTATAGGAACACTACATACCACAGGTAACTGTTACCTTATAGGAACACTACATACCACAGTAAACTTTACCTTATAGGAACATTACATACCACAGGTAAACTGTTACCTTATAGGAACACTACATACCACAGGTAAACTGTTACCTTATAGGAACCTACATACCACAGGTAAACTGTTACCTTATAGGAACACTACATACCACAGGTAAACTGTTACCTTATAGGAAGAATACATACCACAGGTAACTGTTACCTTTATAGGAAAAACCCACATACACAGGTAAACTGTTACCTTTTAGGAACACTACAGCCACAGGTAAACTGTTACCTTATAGGAACAAATAAAATACCACAGGGAAAACTGTTACCTTATAGGAGCACTACTACCACAGGTAAACTGTACCTATATAGGAACACTACATACCACAGGTAAACTGTTAAACCCTTTTAAGGAACACTACATACCACAGGTAAACGTTACCTTTAGGAACACTACAAAACCACAGGTAAAATGTTACCCTTTTGGGAAAAACTACATACCCCAGTAAACTGTTTTCCTTATGGGAACACTACACACCACAGGTAAAATGTTACCTTATGGGAAACACTACATACCCAAGGGAAACTGTTACCCTTATAGGAACACTCATACCCCAGGTAAACTGTTACCTTATAGGAAGACTACTACCACAGGGAAACTGTTACCTTATGGAACCTACATACCACAGGTAAACTGTTACCTTATAGGAACACTACATACCCCAGGTAAACGTTACCTTATAGGAACACTACATACCACAGGTAACTGTTACCTTATAGGAACACTACATACCACAGGTAAACTGTTACCTTATGGGAACACTACATACCCAAGGGAAACTGTTACCTTTTAGGAACCCCTACATACCACAGGTAAAAGTTACCATTATAGGAACACTACATACCACAGGTAAACTGTTACCTTATGAACACTACATACCACAGGTAAACTGTTACCTTATAGAACTAATACCACGGAAAAGTTACCATAGGAACACTACATACCCCCCAGGTAAACTGTTACCTTATAGGAACACTACATCCACAGGTAAACTGTTACCCCTTTTAGGAACACTACATACCACAGGTAAACGGTTTTCCTTATAGGGAAAACTACATACCACAGGTAAACTGTTACCTTATAGGAACACTACATATAAAAGGTAAACTGTTACCTTATAGGGAAAACTACATACCACAGGTAAACTGTTACCTTATAGGAACACTCATGCCACAGGTAAACTGGGTTACCTTATAGGAAACACAATACCACAGTAAAATTACCTTATAGGAACACTCAAACCCCAGGTAAACTTCCTTATAGGAAAACATACCACAGGTAAACTGTTACCTTATAGGAACACTACATACCACAGGTAAACTGTTACCTTATAGGAACAAATACATACCACAGGTAAACTGTTACCTTATAGGAACACTACATACCACAGGTAAACTGTTACCTTATAGGAACACTACATACCACAGGTAAAAATGTTACCTTATAGGAAACTACATACCACAGGTAAACTTTACCTTATAGGAACACTACATAAACCCCAGGTAACTGTTACCTTATAGGAACACACATACCACAGGTAAACTGTTACCTTTTAGGAAACTACATACCACAGGTAAACTGTTACCTTATAGGGAACACTACATACCACAGGTAAACTGTTCCTTTATGGGAACACACATTTAAAAGGTAAAAGTTACCTAGGGAACCTCTACAAGTAAACTGTTTTCCCTTATAGGAAAACTACATACCACAGGTAAACTGTTACCTTATAGGAAAAACTACATACCACAGGTAAAAATGTTACCTTATGGAAGACTACATACCACAGGTAAACTGTTACCTTATAGGAACACTACATACCACAGGGAAACGTTTACCTTATAGGAACACTAACATACCACAGGTAAACTGTTACCTTATAGGAACACTACATACCCCCAGGGAAACTGTTACCTTATAGAACTACTACCACAGGAAAGTACCTTAGGGAACACTAACCCCACAGGTAAACTGTTACCTTATGGGAACACTACATACCACAGGGAAACTGTTACCTTATAGGAAGACTACATACCACAGGTAAACTGTTACTTATAGGAACACTACATACCACAGGTAAACTGTTACCTTATAGGAACAATACATACCACAAAGGGAAACCCGTTTACCTTATAGGAACACTACATACCACAGGTAAACTGTTTTCCTTATGGAACATACACCACAGGTAAAAATTACCTTATGGGAACACTACATACCACAGGTAAACTGTTACCTTATAGGAACACTACATACACAGGTAAACAGTTACCTTATAGGAACACTACATCAACCACAGGTAAACTGTTTACCTTATAGGAACACTACATACCACAGGTAAACTGTTACCTTATAGGAACACTACATACCACAGGTAAAAACTGGGTTTTTTTTTTTACCTTATAGGAAGACTACCTACCACCTGGGTAAACTGGTTACCTATAGAGAACAACACATACCACAGGTAAACTGTTACCTTATAGGAACACTACATGCCACAGGTAAACTGTTACCTTATAGGAACACTACATACCACAGGTAAAACTGTTACCTTATAGGAACACTACATACCACAGGTAAACGTTACCTTATAGGAACACTACATACCACAGGTAAACTGTTACCTTATAGGAACACTACATACACAGGTAAACTGTTACCTTATAGGAACACTACATACCACAGGTAAACTGTACCTTATAGGACCTACATACACCAGGTAAACTGTTACCTTATAGGAACACTACATACCACAGGTAAACTGTTACCTTATAGGACACACTACATACCACAGGTAAACTGTTACCTTATAGGAACACTACATACCACAGGTAAACTGTTACCTTATAGGAACACTACATACCACAGGTAAACTGTTACCTTATAGGAACACTACATACCACAGGTAAACTGTTACCTTATAGGAACACTACATACCACAGGTAAACTGTTACCTTATAGGAACACTACATACCACAGGTAAACTGTTACCTATAGGAATCACTACATACCACAGGTAAACTGTTACCTTATAGGAACACTACCATACCACAGGTAAACTGTTACCTTATAGGAACACTACATACCACAGGTAAACTGTTACCTTATAGGAAGATACATACCACAGGTAAACTGTTACCTTATAGGAACACTACATACCACAGGTAAACTGTTACCTTATAGGAACACTACATACCACAGGTAAACTGTTTCCTTATAGGAACAACTACATACCACAGGTAAACTGTACCTTATAGGAACACTACATACCACAGGTAAACGGTTACCTTATAGGAACACTACATACCACAGGTAAACTGGTACCTTATGGGAACACTACATACCACAGGTAAACTGTTACCTTATGGGAACACTACATACCCACAGGTAAACTGTTACCTTATGGAACACTACATACCCACAGGTAAACTGTTACCCTTTATAGGAACACTACATACCACAGGTAACTGTTACCTTATAGGAACACTACATACCACAGGTAAACTGTTACCTTATAGGAACACTACATACCACAGGTAAACTGTTACCTTATAGGAACACTACATACCACAGGTAAAACTGTTACCTTATAGGAACACTACATACCACAGGTAAACTGTTACCTTATGGGAACACTACATACCACAGGTAAAACTGTTACCTTATAGGAACACTACATACCACAGGTGAAACTGTTACCTTATAGGAAACACTACATACCCACAGGTAAACTGTTACCTTATAGGAAAAACTACATACCACAGGTAAACGTTTCCTTATAGGAACACTACTACCACAGGTAAACTGTTACCTTATAGGAAGACTACATACCACAGGTAAACGTTACCTTATAGGAACACTACAATACCACAGGTAAACTGTTACCTTTAGGAACACTACATGCCACAGGTAAACTGTTACCTTATAGGAAACACTACCACAGTAAAATGTACCTTATAGAACACTACAACACAGGTAACTGTTACCTTATAGGAACACTACATACCACAGGTAAACTGTTACCTTATAGGAACACTACATACCACAGGTAAAAAATGTTACCTTATAGGAAACTACATACCACAGGTAAAAATGTTACCTTATAGGAACACTACATACCACAGGAAACTGTTACCCTTATAGGAACACTACATACCACAGGTAAACGTACCTTATAGGGAAAACTACATACCACAGGTAAACGTTACCTTATAGGAACACTACATACACAGGTAAACTGTTACCTTATAGGAACACTACATACCACAGGTAAACTGTTACCTTATAGGAACACTACATACCACAGGTAAACTGTTACCTTATAGGAACACTACATACCACAGGTAAACTGTTACCTTATAGGAACACTACATACCACAGGTAAACTGTTACCTTATAGGAACACTACATACACAGGTAAACTGTTACCTTATAGGAACACTACCTACCACAGGTAAACTGTTACCTTATAGGAACACTACATACCACAGGTAAACTGTTACCTTATAGGAACACTACATACCACAGGTAAACTGTTACCTTATAGGAAGACTACATACCACAGGTAAACTGTTACCTTATAGGAACACTACATACCCACAGGTAAACTGTTACCTTATAGGAACACTACATACCACAGGTAAACTGTTTCCTTATAGGAACACTACATACCACAGGTAAACTGTTACCTTATAGGAACACTACATACCACAGGTAAACGGTTACCTTATAGGAACACTACATACCACAGGTAAACTGTTACCTTATGGGAACACTACATACCACAGGTAAACTGTTACCTTATGGGAACACTACATACCACAGGTAAACTGTTACCTTATGGGAACACTACATACCACAGGTAAACTGTTTACCTTATAGGAACACTACATACCACAGGTAAACTGTTACCTTATAGGAACACTACATACCACAGGTAAACTGTTACCTTATAGGAACACTACATACCACAGGTAAACTGTTACCTTATAGGAACACTACATACCACAGGTAAACTGTTACCTTATAGGAACACTACATACCACAGGTAAACTGTTACCTTATAGGAACACTACATACCACAGGTAAACTGTTACCTTATAGGAACACTACATACCACAGGTAAACTGTTACCTTATAGGAACACTACACACCACAGGTAAACTGTTACCTTACAGGAACACTACATACCACAGGTAAACTGTTACCTTACAGGAACACTACATACCACAGGTAAACAGATCCACAGATGACGCAATCTCTATCGCACTCCACACTGCCCTCTCCCACCTGGACAAGAGGAACACCTATGTAAGAATGCTATTCATTGACTACAACTCAGCGTTCAACACCATAGTGCCTTCCAAGCTCAGCACTAAACTAAGGATCCTGGGACTAAACACCTCCCTCTGCAACTGGATCCTAGACTTCCTGACGGTCCGCCCCCAGGTGGTGCGGGTAGGCAACAACACATCCGCCACACTGACCCTCAACACGGGGGCCCCTCAGAGGTGCGTGCTCAGTCCCCTCATGTACTCCCTGTTCACCCACGACTGCGTGGCCGCGCACAACTCCAACACCATCATTAAGTTTGCTGACGACACAACGGTGGTTGGCCTGATCACCGATGACGTCAACAAGACAAAGGAGCTGATAATGGACTACAGGAAACGGAACGCCGAGCACGCCCCCATCCACATCGACGGGGTTGTAGTGGAGCTGGTTGAAAGCTTCAAGTTCCTCAGTGTCCACATCGCTAAGTATTTATCATGGTCCACACACACCAACACAGTCGTGAAGAGGGCACGACAACTCCTCTTCCCCCTCAGGAGGCTGAAAATATTTAGCATGGGCCCTCAAATCCTCAAAAAGCTCTACAGCATTGAGAGCATTGTGACTTGCTGCATCATCACTTGGTATGGCAACTGCTTGGCCTCTGACCCCAAGGAACTACAGAGGGTAGTGCATACGGCCCAGTACATCACTGGGGTAGAGCTCCCTGCTATCCAGGACCTCTATGCCAGGCGTTTTTTAGTGGAAGACCCTAAAAATTATCAAAGGCTCCAGCCACCCTAGTCATAGACTGTTCTCTCTGCTACCTCACGGCAAGCAGTACCGATGCACCAAATCTGGAACAAACAGGACCCTGAACAGCTTCTACCCCCAAGCCATAAGACTGCTAGTTAGTTAAATAGTTAACCAAATAGTTAAAGGGACTATCTGCATTGACCCTTTTTGCACTAACTCTTTTGACTCATCACACGCTGCTGTTACTGTCTATTATCTATCTCACTGCCTAGTCACTTTATCCCTACTTACAGTTAAAGTCGGAAGTTTACATACACCTTAGCCAAATTCATTTAAACTCAGTTTTTCACAATTCCGGACATTTAATCCTAGTAAAAATTCCCTGTCTTAGGTCAGTTAGGTTCACCACTTTATTTTAAGAATGTGAAATGTCAGAATAATAGTAGCGAGAATTATTTATTTCAGCTTTTATTTCTTTCATCACATTCCCAGTGGGTCAGAAGTTTACATACACTCAATTAGTATTTGGTAGCATTGCCTTTAAATTGTTTAACTTGGGTCAAACGTTTTGGGTAGCCTTCCACAAGCTTCCCACAATAAATTGGGTGAATTTTGGCCCATTCCTCCTGACAGAGCTGGTGTAACTGAGTCAGGTTTGTAGGCCTCCTTGCTCGCACACGCTTTTTCAGTTCTGCCCACAAATTTCTATAGGATTGAGGTCAGGGCTTTGTGATGGCCACTCCAAGACCTTGACTTTGTTGTCCTTAAGCCATTCCTTAAGCCACAACTTTGGAAGTATGCTTGGGGTAATTGTACATTTGGAAGAACCATTTGCAACCAAGCTTTAACTTCCTGACTGATGTCTTGAGATGTTGCTTCAATATATCCACATAATTTTCTTCCTCATGATGCCATCTATTTTGGGAAGTGCACCAGTCCCTCCTGCAGCAAAGCACCCCCACAGCATGATGCTGCCACCCACGTGCTTCATGGTTGGGATGGTGTTCTTCGACTTGCAAACAACCCCCTTTTTCCTCCGAACATAACGATGGTCATTAAGGCCAAACAGTTCTATTTTTGTTTCATCAGGCCAGAGGACATTTCTCCAAAAAGTACGATCTTTGTCCCGATGTGCAATTGCAAACTGTAGTCTGGCTTTTTTATGGCAGTTTTGGAGCAGTGGCTTCTTCCTTGCTGAGCAGCCTTTCGGGTTATGTCGATATAGGACTCGTTTTACTGTGGATATAGATACTTTTGTACCTGTTTCCTCCAGCATCTTCACAAGGTCCTTTGCTGTTGTTCTGGGATTGATTTGCACTTTTCGCACCAAAGTACGTTCATCTCTAGGAGACAGCTGACAGCTGCGTGGTCCCATGGTGTTTATACTTGCGTACTATTGTTTGTACAGATGAACGTGGTACCTTCAGGCGTTTGGAAATTGCTCCCAAGGATGAACCAGACTTGTGGAGGTCTACAATGTTTTTTCTGAGGTCTTGGCTGATTTCTTTTGATTTTCCCATGATGTCAAGCAAAGAGGCACTGAGTTTGAAGGTAGGTCTTGAAATACATCCACAGGTACACCTCCAATTGACTCAAATGATGTCAATTAGCCTATCAGAAGCTTCTAAAGCCATGACATCATTTTCTGGAATTTTCCAAGCTGTTTAAAGGCACAGTCAACTTAGTGTATGTAAACTTCTGACCCACTGGAATTGTGATACAGTGAATTATAAGTGAAATAATCTGTCTGTAAACAATTGTTGAAAAAATTACTTGTGTCATGCACAAAGTAGATTTCCTAACCGACTTGACAAAACTATAGTTTGTTAACAAGAAATTTGTGGAGTGGTTGAAAAACACGTTTTAATGACTCCAACCTAAGTGTATGTAAACTTCTGACTTCAACTGTATATGTGCATATCTACCTCAATTACCTCATACCCCTGCACATCGACTTGGTACTGGTACCCCGTGTATATAGCCAAGTTACCATTACTCATTGTGTATTTATTCCTCGTGTTATTATTTCTAAATGTTTCTCTCTGCGTTGTTGGGAAGGTCCCGTATGTAAGTATTTCACTGTTAGTCTACACCTGTTGTTTACGAAGCATGTGACAAATAACATTTAATTTGATTTGACACGTGCACAAATGCACCTCAGTTCCAAATCGACTCCTAACCTTTATGCGCTATCTAAGTGTATCGGCATGTGACTATAATTACCATGACAACATGATGACATGTTAACATAACGTACTGGAGAACAACCCACAATTTGGGGCGGCAGGTAGCTTAGTGGTTAAGAGCGTTGTGCCAGTAACCGAAAGGTCGCTGGTTCTAATCCCTGAGCCGACCAGGTGAAAAAATCTGTTGATGTGCCCTTGAGCAAGGCACTTAACCCTAATTGCTCCTGTAAGTCACTCTGGATAAGAGTGTCTGCTAAATGACTAAAATGTAAATGTAATTTGTGTTTGTCTCTAAAACATTTTCTTGTCTATTTTCATTTTACATTTGTATAGAAAACCTTTAGTGTTTTTTGTCTTTCTCACCTTTGTATTATGTTATTTGTTAAGCACTTTGAAATGTATCCTCTGCATTGTCTGTAAGAAATGTGCTATATAAATAAAGTTTGATTTGATATCAACACAACACATACCGTGACATAACATTGTGTTCCTCTTTAGGACCTGGCGTTGTACAACGAGTTTACCATCAGTGACACCCTGACGTTCTTCGGACGGATCCACGGCCTGTCATCTAAGGACACTCAGGCACGCATTAACTTCCTGGTGGACTTCCTGGACCTACCTCAGAAGAGCAAACTGGTCCGAAATCTCAGGTAACACAACCGTACACAGGGGTGTCCAGCATATGGCCCGCGAGCTCATTAAATCCAGCTTAAATCTGGTTAGAATTAATTTTATTGTAAATTATTATTTTTTTATTAGGGGGAAAACAATCTCAATAGACATTTTAAATAACAAAAACTAACTATGTAGAAATGATAATGGACCTACATTTACAATCTCTTCGCTCTGTCCAGCTTGATAACAGTCATCTATAGTCTCTTCACTCTGTCCAGCGTGATAACAGTCATCTATAGTCTCTTCACTCTGTCCAGCTTGATAACAGTCATTTATAGTCTCTTCACTCTGTCCAGCTTGATAACAGTCATCTATAGTCTCTTCACTCTGTCCAGCTTGATAACAGTCATCTATAGTCTCTTCACTCTGTCCAGCTTGATAACAGTCATCTATAGTCTCTTCACTCTGTCCAGCTTGATAACAGTCATCTATAGTCTCTTCACTCTGTCCAGCTTGATAACAGTCATCTATAGTCTCTTCACTCTGTCCAGCTTGATAACAGTCATCTATAGTCTCTTCACTCTGTCCAGCTTGATAACAGTCATCTATAGTCTCTTCACTCTGTCCAGCGTGATAACAGTCATCTATAGTCTCTTCACTCTGTCCAGCTTGATAACAGTCATTTATAGTCTCTTCACTCTGTCCAGCGTGATAACAGTCATTTATAGTCTCTTCACTCTGTCCAGCTTGATAACAGTCATTTATAGTCTCTTCACTCTGTCCAGCGTGATAACAGTCATCTATAGTCTCTTCACTCTGTCCAGCGTGATAACAGTCATCTATAGTCTCTTCACTCTGTCCAGCTTGATAACAGTCATTTATAGTCTCTTCACTCTGTCCAGCGTGATAACAGTCATCTATAGTCTCTTCACTCTGTCCAGCGTGATAACAGTCATTTATAGTCTCTTCACTCTGTCCAGCGTGATAACAGTCATTTATAGTATCTTCACTCTGTCCAGCGTGATAACAGTCATTTATAGTCTCTTCACTCTGTCCAGCGTGATAACAGTCATTTATAGTCTCTTCACTCTGTCCAGCTTGCTAACAGTTATCGAAACGGAAGCTACACAGTCAGGGTGCATAACAAATTCAAAAAGCGATGGATAAAGGAATATATTTTTTTTTTATGTTGACGTTAAGGAAATATAATACATTTTAAATGCATCCCTCAGACCTCTGTGAAGAGCGAATGCGACCTGCAAGATGTTATGGTCCACATGAATTTGCCGTGGATAGTTTCCCCTTGCCCATGACGAGGAGAGGTTAAATACAGAAGCCGTGACCCATGTACTCATTATGAAGATGGAATGGAGTCATCAGTGCTGTCCCCAGAACACACACACACCTTTGTGGGTTAATGGGTTAGTGGGTCTCAATCGCCTCCCTCTCTTCTAACTGGCATTGGTCCATTATTACATCGTGTCCACAAAACCATGTGACCTGTGCCTAGAGACTATGGCTGAGTCCCCAATTGCACCCTATTCCCTATACACTATTGCACTAGTATATCCCATTTGGATCTGGGGACAACGTAGGCTACAACCAGGGCTAAGATAGATAGAAAGAGAAGGAAACTGTTTCCCTGTTACATCCCTGTTAGTGAGCATTTCTCCTTTTTCTGTTTGTGTCACGGGCTTCTGTCAAAATGCTGTGGAGTCAGCCCGCCCTGTCTGAAACGGTGGCTAATTACCATACATTTTGGTGGGGGTGCATATAACCATAGTATTACAGTGTTATTGATTTGATGTATTTAATAATCATCATAAAAATGTATTCAACTTCTATTTGACCATTTAATTAACACAATTTAACCGCACAAGGTGATACATTATATTAATGCATTTGATGTGATTCACAATGTTGCATCTTATATGGCTGTCAAATAAAGCAGAACCAACTGCTTTCAGTCCCAGTATCCTTCCCATATTGGCCCGAATGACTGTACAGAAGCAAGGCCTCCAGAGAAATGTGTCTTAACTAACTCACCAAAAATGTCATAGTGTAATTGGCCCTTGAACCTGTGTGAAAACACTGGTGTGGCCTCCGGCTCTCGGCATCCCCCCTTGTACCTCACAAGGACCCAGTGCTTCCCTGTAGTAGAATAAACACTAAGGCTGAGTCTCAAATGGCACCCTGTTCCCTATAATATAGTGCACTACTTTTGACCAGAGCCCTCTGGGCCAAGTTCAAAACTAGTGTGCTATCTAGGAAATTTGAGACGCATACTAAACATTCAAGTTACCTCAGTCGAAGCTCACCGGACTTCCAAGCAACAGAAACGATTTACCTTTCAGTTTCAGAAAGTGGAAAATAGGCTAGGTATGATGAGCTCTCTACCTGCCCTGTTTCTGTCTCTCTCTCGCTCTCTCTCTGTGCCCTGTTTCTGTTCAACTCTCTCTCTCTGTCTCTCTCTCTCTCTCTACATGCCCTGTTTGTTTGTCCACCTCTCTCTCTCTTTCTCTCTCTCCCTTTCTCTACATGCCCTGTTTGTTTGTCCACCTCTCTCCCTCTCTCCCTTTATTATGTATATATACAGTGTTGTAACGATGTGCAAATAGTTAAAGTACAAAAGGGGAAATAAATAAATATGGATTGTATTTACAATGGTGTTTGTTCTTCACTGGTTGCCCTTTTCTTGTGGCAACAGGTCACAAATCTTGCTGCTGTGATGGCACACTGTGGTATTTCACCCAGTAGATATGGGAGTTTATCAAAATTGGGTTTGTTTTTGAATTCTTTGTGGATATGTGTAATCTGAGGGAAATATGTCTCTAATATGGTCATACATTTGGCAGGAAGTTAGGAAGTGCAGCTCAGTTTCCACCTCATTTTGTGGGCAGTGTGCACATAGCCTGTCTTCTCTTGAGAGCAGGTCTGCCTACAGCGGCCTTTCTCAATAGCAAGGCTATGCTCACTGAGTCTGTACATAGTCAGGTATTATGCCTCTGTGTACTCTCTGTTTAGGACCAGATAGCATTCTAGTTTGCTCAGTTTATTTTGTTAATTCTTTGTGTGTCAAGTAATCATCTTTTTGTTTTCTCATGATTTGGTTGGGTCTAATTGTGTTGCTATCCTGGGGCTCGGTGGAGTCTGTTTGTGTTTGTGAACAGAGCCCAAGGACCAGCTTGCTTAGGGGACTCTTCTCCAGGTACATCTCTCTGTAGGTGATGGCTTTGTTATGGAAGGTTTGGGAATCGCTTCCTTTTAGGTGGTTGTAGAATTTAACGGCTCTTTTCTGGATTTTGATAATTAGCGGGTATCGGCCTAATTCTGCTCTACATTCATTATTTGGTGTTTTACGTTGTACACAAATAATATTTCTCAATTTGGTGTTTGTCCCATTTTGTGAATTCTTGGTTGGTGAGTTGTCTACTTGAACAGATTTACTGTCAGGGCCCATGTCTGACAGAATTGGGCAGAAGATCTAGGTGCTGCTGTAGGCCCTCCTTGGTTGGGGACAGAAGCACCAGATCATCAGCAAACAGTAGACATTTGACTTCTGATTCTAGTAGGGTGAGGCCGGGTGCTGCAGACTGTTCTAGTGCCCTCGCCAATTTGTTTATATATTTGTTGAAGAGGGTGGGGCTTAAGCTGCATCCCTGTCTCACCCCACGGCCCTGTGGAACGAAATGAGTGTGTTTTTTGCCAATATTTTACGCACACTTGTTGTTTGTGTACATGGATTTTATAATGTCGTATGTTTTTCCCCCAACACCACTTTCCATCAATTTGTATAGCAGACCCTCATGCCAAATTGAGTCAAAAGCTTTTTTGAAATCAACAAAGTATGAGAAGACTTTGCCTTTGTTTTGTTTTGTTTGTTTGTCAATTAGGGTGTGCAGGGTGAATACGCTGTATTGTCACGATCGTTCATGAACGAGAAGGACCAAGGCGCAGCGTGATATGCATTCATATTTATTTCACGAATAAACGCACAACCAAAACAACAAACGAAACGTGACGTCCAAGGTAGACAAATAACATACCTCAAACTGAACAAGATCCCACAACTGACTGGTGCCAAAAGGCTGCCTAAGTATGGTCCCCAATCAGAGACAACGAGCTACAGCTGCCTCTGATTGGGAACCAACCTGGCCAGTTTTCCTGCCTGTGTTGTGGGATTTTGTTGTGTTCCTGTTTAGGCTTGTGTGTTAGCCCTTTGGACCGTCACGGTTAAGTTTGTTATTTTGGTTACTGTGTTGTGTGTTTATTATTTAAATAAACATGTACGCCTTTCACGCTGCACCTTGGTCCGACCCGTTTCTTAAATTTATCATTGTTGTTAGTTTTGTTTGGTTTTCTGTTTGACATTTTTAGATTTAATAGGGAAGCTGAGAGGTTAAATATACTGTTTAGGTTTTCTACTGCCAAGTTTACACCTTCACTATTACAGTGAAACGTTTTGTCCAGGAAGTTGTCTACAAGGGATTGAATTTGTTGTTGCCTAATTGTTTTTTGGTAGGTTTCCACACTACTTTCCTTCCATCTATAGCATATCTTAATATTATTCAGTTCCTTTGGCTTTGATGCCTCATGATTGAGTATTCAAGTAGACTGTGATTTTGCTGTGATCTGATAGGGGTGTCAGTGGGCTGACTGTGAACGCTCTGAGAGACTCTGGGTTGAGGTCAGTGATAAAGTAGTCTACAGTTGTCACGGTTTTGGCCGAGGCTGCTCCTCCTCCTTGTTCGGGCAGGCTTCGGCGGTCGTCGTCCCCGGAGTACTAGCTGCCACCGTTCGATGTTTCATGTTTGTTTGGTTTTGTCTGTTTGTACACCTGTCCCTTGTTAGTGTTTGATTTTGTTTCCTATTTAGTTATCGTGTGTTGGGTCAGGTGTTATGTGTGATTGTTATGTCAGCTGTTAGCTGTTGGTGGGTTTTCCTCTCATGTTGTTTGTTTTTTGAGAGTCCGCACTGCGTGCGCGTTTCTACTATTTTACGCACTGTTGTGTGTGTGCGTAATTGTTCATGCCTCCCGGTTGGGTTGGCCAGTTACCTGTTTGGAGTTATATTTTTGGATCACTAAAGTCTGTTGACGAACGCCCTTGTTCCTGCGCTTGATTTCTCGCACCACATCCACACTCAGAATTCTTGACAACAGTACCTCTGCCAAGAGATGAGCTATAGGTGTACCTACCATAGGAGTCCCCTTAAAGCCTACCATTGACTATGTAAATACCCAGCTTGCGACAGAGCTGCAGGAGTTGTGACCCGTTTTTGTTGGTTATGTTTTCATAGTTGTGCCTAGTGGGGCGTATAGGGGAGTGAATGCTGTCACCTCCATGTATGTGTTTGTCCCCCTTTGTGCTGAGGGTGTCAGGTTCTTGTCCAGTTCTGGCATTTAGGTCACAACAGACTAGTACATGTCCCTGGGTCTGGAAATGATTAATTTCCCCCTCCAGGGTGGAGAAGCTGTCTTCATTAAAGTATGGGGATTCTAGTGGGAGGATATAGATAGCACACAGGAGGACATTTTTCTCTGTTGATATCATATCCTTTTGAATTTCTAGCCAAATGTATAATGTTCCTGTTTTGATTACTTTAATAGAGTGAGTTAGGTCTGCTTTATACCAAATTAGCATACCCCCTGAGTCGCTTCCCTGTTTCACACCTGGTAGTTTGGTGGATGGAACTACCAGCTCTCTGTAACCTAGAGGGCAACCAGTGGGTCCATCTCCTCTATATCATGTTTCTTGTAGGATGACAGTGTCTGTATTTCTGGTGGACCTGGTCCTAAAGGCTGTTCATGTCCAGGGTGGAGTGGTGGGCCAGGTAAACATTTCGTTTTGAGGCACAGTCACAGGAAATACTTGCGTTTACCCACTGTATGGTAGCAGGGTGGAAGTCTTGTCGTGGTAGCAGGGTGGAGATAACCACTTGTGCGTTGGGGAAAGTAGAATAAGCTTTTTCAATCACTCCCTTGAGTGCTGTGGCCACCCTTTCCTGCTGTGCTCTCAGGTCATTTGTGGCTGGGTGATCCTAGTCGGTCCTTAGACAGAAGGTCTAGGGCGCGCTGGGTGTTTGGACACCAGAGTTTAGACACTGTATTTGGGGGGGGGGGGGGGGGTGCTCAGAGGGGGTGGTATCCCCTGGGCTTGGGGTTCTTCATTTGTTTGTCCAGCTGTGATGTCGAGGCTATGGTCAGGGTCTAGGGTGGACTGTTCTGCTGCGGTGTCGAGACTTTGGCCAGGATCTGAGGTGGGCTGTTCTGCTGGCTTCTCTGCGGGGGTGGCCAGCTCTCTAATGGGTTGTTCTCTGTCACCCGTCATCGTTCTCACCTTCTCCTCCAGCACTCTGATCCTCTCCTCTAGTGCTCTGTTCTTCTCCTGCTCTTTCTCCTGTTGATGTTGTCTCACCACAGTCCAGAGTGCAGACATGTCTCTCTCCACCTCCAGCTCTCTGGGTCTGGTTGAGGGGGTGTTGTTGAGCTGGACAATTTTTTGTGCTGACCTGCTGTTCCAGCTCCACCTGCCTTACCTCCAGCTGGGTGAATCTATCCTTCATTTCGATGAGGGAGTAGTCCTCTGTGCTGGGAGGTTGACTTTCCGCTTGGGGTTGCTCGTCTGTGGGGTTGTATAATGAAGAGGTCTGGTCTGACACGCTTGTGGCGGGGGTATCTTTCTCAAGAGAGAGCTTATCCCATTCTCTCATCGGAACAGGCAGGTTAGTCTTGAAGGGTTTCTCTGCCTTGCCAGCCCAGCTAACACACACACTGCATTACACTGAGAGGCAAACCAGTGAGGGTGATGCAAGTCAAACAATGGCAGCTCAATGGAGCAGATAAATAACAGAGTATATCAGGTGTGTTTATGTAACGTGTGTGTGTGTGTGTGTGTGTGTGTGTGTGTGTGTGTGTGTGTGTGTGTGTTTACAGCGGAGGGCAGAAACGGAGGGTTTCTCTAGGAGCGGCCTTACTTCAAAACCCCCAGTTATTGATTCTGGATGAACCCACAGTCGGGGTGGACCCTGTGCTGAGAGCCAAGTATGTATTGACCACACACACACACACACACACACACACACACACACACACACACACACACACACACACACACACACACACACACACACACACACACACACACACACACATACACACACACACACACACACACACACCCTTCTACAACAATTCACCTGCTTCACATTTCCCCCATTTACATCCAATATAATGAATCTCATATACAATCTTAAGATAACATAGCAGTTTATGAACAACACTCTCGCTCAAACACTCATAAACCTGTCAAATACAACTCTCTGCCCCCCATTACAGAAACCATATTGTCTCTCATTCAGAATGAGTGTATAAGTCCTGTTGGAAGTATCTGGGTGTGTAATCTAATTGTGTAATAGTACCAGTGCTCTGTTACAAAGCCCAGCCAAATCAGAGTCTAGCCAGGGTAATCCCAGGCAGGTCATAAGATTAAAGGTGTGTCCCAAATAGCACCCTATACCCTTCATGGTGCACTACCAGGGCCCATATCAGCACATTGTTAGGTTATTCTTTGTGTGACAGGTGGTTCGCCCGAACCGCACTCGTGTGATGAGTAACCTTGATTAGGACCTTGAGACTTGTGTTAGCTCCCCGAGCTAATGCCTAGGCTTTAGCTCAGTGGGATACACACAGTGTTGTTGTGCACTAGATGATCACATTTGCACACTTTCTCTTTGTATCTCGACTACTCCAGGTACGGTAGCGCCATGTCCCAAATCGCACATTACCTATATAGTGCAATACGTTTTATTTTAATGATTTTATTTGGGTTTTATCACACAAGAATGTCATAGGTTCTTATCACAGGGTTACATCAGTACTGTGCTTTGGAATATAATCAATAAGAAACATGAAAAATCCAATCATACGTTCAGTAATCACACCACAGTACAATACTATAATGCATTTAAAATATCCATACTGTAAACAACATTATCCTATAATATCAAACACATTCTGTATCCCATCTGGTGATAAATGGCTGGTCTGGACACATCAGCCTTATAGTGCAATACTTAAGTAGTGCACTTTATAGGGAATAGGGTGCCATTTGGGACGCCCAATAGGATGTTGCCCTTAAACTGAGTTGTGTCATGTCCCTGTAGGATCTGGCAGCATCTAGTAGATATTGTGAAAACTGGAAAAGTGTCGGTCGTCATCACCACTCACTACATAGAGGAGGCCAGGCAAGCCAATGTGGTAAGACACACACACTCACACACACACACACACACACACACACACACACACACACACGCGCACACACACACACACACACACACACACACACACACACACACACACACACACACACACACACACTCTCACACACACACACACTGTCCTTTTTGTTAAATGCTCCTCTGTGAACGCTGTGCCTTGTTTATCTGTTGACAAGAGGAAAAGGGGAAACACAGCCCAACTGACCGTCACTCCATAAATACTTTATGAGCAGGCATTAATGAGGTCCCCTCCACTGAGAAACAATGGGTCCTTTGATAGTTCCTCTAGTTCTTCTGTGTGTCACCTTTTTAGAAAGGGGGGGGAAGAGGTGGACTATGGGTCTGCGTGTGTGTATCACAGCGTCAATGGTCTGGTTGGCTTGTCTTCAATCAGAACACACTTCCAGTTATATGGCCCCATGTACTCCATCAGACTGGCAGTATTCACTCCCTATCCTGGCTGGTTCAAAGTCTAACGCCTAGGGAGCTACTGCTCTGTAAATCTACAGATTAGGTTACTGTAAAACCTTTTTCCCCGGTTTTCCTCTGAGATGATGTTTGCTTCTGAACAGCCTTTTTCCTCAGTGAGGAAATGAAATGTGAAAGAGCGGTGAAGGGAACAAACATGAAGGATGTAGCACTGAGTGGATGTGTTGGTCCTGTACCACACGGACAATTAACTACTGTCTTTACATGCCATATGTTTTCATGTCTTCTTAGAGCTTCATTTGAGCAAACATTGGTTGTTTGAGATCCATATGTGTGCTCGTAATATACTCCTAACAGATTCATGAGCCGATTCATGATCAGATTCATAAGCAGGTCAAAATAAACATACAGTAAGAATATACAGTAGATTGTCTGTAAAGAAGTGTTAAGATGTGAATATGTACAGAAAACCAAAGGACGAAGTCTTTTACAGTATATCTGGTTAAGTGCCACTATGCGCCCTGGTCAAAAGTAGTGCACTAAATAGGGAATTGGGTGCCATTTGGGATGCACAATAGATATAGATGACCTTTACCCCCCATAGAACTGTGTCAATAGGGGGATGGAACATATATGACCCTGTGTCTGAGGTATCAGTGGTTAGTGGCAATTCTTACATTTACATCTTGGTCATTTAGCAGATGCTCTTAACCAGAGCGACGGATCAGATCTCACTTCTCTGTTGTTGCCAGTTCCAACATCATGCTTGGCCACTAAGGCAGAAGTGAAAGTAGTGTGAAGTGGATAGTACTGAATTCTCCTTTTAGCTTCTCACACTCAAAAAATATCTTTATTCGAAACACACTGATAAGACTCTCTCTACGTTCCAAATGGCACCATATTATTGTTATAGTGCACTACTTTTAACCAGGACCCATAGGGCTCTTGTCAAAAGTAGTGCACTATATAGGGAATAGGGTGCCATTTGGAAGACAGGTTCCTTGTACCACATGTGTAATGTATTCTAAATGCATTTAGAGCACCATCTATCACAACAAAGTGTGTTATAGTCTACAGTACTACCTCTGTGTTATATACATCCATAAGGACTCATGACTTCATAATAAACACCTTATTGATCATCAGTTTGTCAATGGCTGTCAGCGTCTGGGTGAAGTGGGGAAACGGAATCAGGCGCAGGACACAGAACAGAGCAAAGTATGGCTTTACTAAACACAAAGTAAACAATAGCAAACCCTCCACACAGGAAGAGCAAAAACAACAGCTCAACAGACGACGTAACAACGAACAATCACGCACAAACCCAGGAGGGAAAACAGAGGTAATATAGGGAAACCAATAAGCCTAATGAGTAACAGGTGTGAATAATAAAGACAGGACTAGTGTGACACAGAAACATGGATCGGTGGCAGCTAGTACTCCGGTGACGACGAACGCCGAAGCCTGCCCGAGCAAGGAGGAGGGGCAGCTTCGGCTGTATCCGTGACAATGGCCCAATGCAGATAACAAAATCAGCAAATATTTCATTAGACCTAATATTTTCGATATAAACCGGCGAGAATAATCAAACAAAAATTGATAACTGAGAAATCAGATCATAATTTAACTCTGATTGCAAGAAAGCTTACAAAAAACAGAGATTCAATTTAAATAATTGTGACATAATAACAACAATGCTCACTAATTTAAAAAGAAAAGTATACTAAGACAATTACATGTAAGACAAAGAGAAAGAATAACCCACCTTGGTTAAATGACACTCTGTGGTAAAATCAGGGTCCAATAAAAAGAAAGAGAGACAGAGAGAAAGAAAGCACTAAACTGGACTACATGTTGACAGACTGCTGTTCAGAGGGCTGAGGAAAAACTGGACTACATGTTGACAGACTGCTGTTCAGAGGGCTGAGTAAAAACTGGACTACATGTTGACAGACTGCTGTTCAGAGGGCTGAGTAAAAACTGGACTACATGTTGACAGACTGCTGTTCAGAGGGCTGAGTAAAAACTGGACTACATGTTGACAGACTGCTGTTCAGAGGGCTGAGTAAAAACTGGACTACATGTTGACAGACTGCTGTTCAGAGGGCTGAGTAAAAACTGGACTACATGTTGACAGACTGCTGTTCAGAGGGCTGAGAAACAAGGTAATCTCCCAGCTAAGAAAATCAAAAGCCAACTTCATAAATGAGGCGAAAGGTGATTGTAAACACATTTGGAAAAACAGACAGTTTAACAGGAAAGACACATTTAAGGGAGATATACAACTGAAAGGTGATGGAAGATTGATGGAGGATAGCTACTCTATAGCCACTATTTTAACAATGTCTTTATTCAGTCTGTACTAGATCTGGGGCAAAAGTTTACAGTGAGCGAGTTGTGTATCACCCAATGTGATGACTTTTTGACTATGTTTGATATGATTCCAACTACTGAGGTGGCAAAATACTTAACTAGGCCCCTGTCTCAGTAGCTACATGGCTGCAGTGTTCACAGAGAGAGAAAACATACCAGGACAAAGGTGACATGATGACTGGCCCTGAGCCAAGCCTTCACCACAGGACGTTAATGATACAATTATACTGTGAGCCAGAGATCTCTGTCACACTAAAACCCATCCTCACCTGTCACACTAAAACCTGTCCTACAGGCACATTTATGACTAAGGCTATTTCTTAATTAATCTTTCCTTGATTCCTCACATTCTCTCTCCTCGCCTCCTTCCTCAAAACTCCATTTGGAATGACCCTGCTGTTTTCTATCTCTCCAGGTGGGTCTGATGAGGAATGGCCGACTGTTGGCCGAGGGACTTCCAGAAGCCATGATGAAACAGCACAATGCACCGGTGAGTTCCCTACAACGGAGTTGACAGCCAACAGAGTTGAGGTCGACCATTGCTGTTGGCTAATAGTGTGGTCAGCTGTTTGAAATGGTAACGATGGTGACTACTAACAATGTTGACCACTGACCGTTTTAACCTTGGACTGTTTGACTGTAACTGTGTTGATGACTGACCGTTTTAACCCTGGTCTGTGATGTCTTTGTGTACAGTTGACTTTTCTGCCTGTTAACAGTAGCCCTTTATCACCACTAGACAACAGTCCTGTTAACAGTAGCCCTTTATCACCACTAGACAACAGTCATGTTAACAGTAGCCCTTTATCACCACTAGACAACAGTCCTGTTAACAGTAGCCCTTTATCACCACTAGACAACAGTCCTGTTAACAGTAGCCCTTTATCACCACTAGACAACAGTCCTGTTAACAGTAGCCCTTTATCACCACTAGACAACAGTCCTGTTAACAGTAGCCCTTTATCACCACTAGACAACAGTCCTGTTAACAGTAACCCTTTATCACCACTAGACAACAGTCCTGTTAACAGTAGCCCTTTATCACCACTAGACAACAGTCCTGTTAACAGTAGCCCTTTATCACCACTAGACAACAGTCCTGTTAACAGTAGCCCTTTATCACCGCTAGACAACAGTCCTGTTAACAGTAGCCCTTTATCACCGCTAGACAACAGTCCTGTTAACAGTAGCCCTTTATCACCGCTAGACAACAGTCCTGTTAACAGTAACCCTTTATCACCACTAGACAACAGTCCTGTTAACAGTAACCCTTTATCACCACTAGACAACAGTCCTGTTAACAGTAACCCTTTATCACCACTAGACAACAGTCCTGTTAACAGTAGCCCTTTATCACCACTAGACAACAGTCCTGTTAACAGTAGCCCTTTATCACCACTAGACAACAGTCCTGTTAACAGTAGCCCTTTATCACCACTAGACAACAGTCCTGTTAACAGTAGCCCTTTATCACCACTAGACAACAGTCCTGTTAACAGTAGCCCTTTATCACCACTAGACAACAGTCCTGTTAACAGTAGCCCTTTATCACCACTAGACAACAGTCCTGTTAACAGTAGCCCTTTATCACCACTAGACAACAGTCCTGTTAACAGTAGCCCTTTATCACCACTAGACAACAGTCCTGTTAACAGTAGCCCTTTATCACCACTAGACAACAGTCCTGTTAACAGTAGCCCTTTATCACCACTAGACAACAGTCCTGTTAACAGTAGCCCTTTATCACCACTAGACAACAGTCCTGTTAACAGTAGCCCTTTATCACCACTAGACAACAGTCCTGTTAACAGTAGCCCTTTATCACCACTAGACAACAGTCCTGTTAACAGTAGCCCTTTATCACCACTAGACAACAGTCCTGTTAACAGTAGCCCTTTATCACCGCTAGACAACAGTCCTGTTAACAGTAGCCCTTTATCACCGCTAGACAACAGTCCTGTTAACAGTAACCCTTTATCACCACTAGACAACAGTCCTGTTAACAGTAGCCCTTTATCACCACTAGACAACAGTCCTGTTAACAGTAGCCCTTTATCACCACTAGACAACAGTCCTGTTAACAGTAGCCCTTTATCACCACTAGACAACAGTCCTGTTAACAGTAGCCCTTTATCACCACTAGACAACAGGCCTGTTAACAGTAGCCCTTTATCACCACTAGACAACAGTCCTGTTAACAGTAGCCCTTTATCACCACTAGACAACAGTCCTGTTAACAGTAGCCCTTTATCACCACTAGACAACAGTCCTGTTAACAGTAGCCGACATTGACCCTATTGCTTCGCCTACAATCCACCCACCCACTGCAGACTCTGGAGAAAGCTTTCCTACAGCTGTGTGAGATGTCCGACTGTGTTGACTGCTTTGTGTGTTGACGGCTTTCTGTGTTGACCAGGGATCATATAAACCCTTGACTGTGTTATCAGTGTGTTCAATTGACTGTGTTGTCTATTTCCCCTGCTGCCCCATCCACCCACTGCAGACCCTGGAGAAAGCCTTCCTGCAGCTGTGTGAGACCTCAGACCAGGTGAGCTCCAAACACAGCACCTCGCCTCAGGGCGGGGTCCTAGAGAGCAGCCAATCATTCGAGAGCAGCCGGGACGAGAGTCAACCAATCCTGGGAGCCGGACCGGGACCAGTAGAAGAGCTGCCCAAATATTCAGGTAAATGTAGGGTTGTATTGACACTACACTGTATATACTCAGGTAAATGTAGGGTTGTATGGACACTACACTGTATATATTCAGGTAAATGTAGGGTTGTATGGACACTACACTGTATATACTCAGGTAAATGTAGGGTTGTATGGACACTACACTGTATATACTCAGGTAAATGTAGGGTTGTATGGACACTACATTGTATATACTCAGGTAAATGTAGGGTTGTATGGACACTACACTGTATATACTCAGGTAAATGTAGGGTTGTATGGACACTACACTGTATATACTCAGGTAAATGTAGGGTTGTATGGACACCACTGTATATATTCAGGTAAATGTAGGGTTGTATGGACACTACACTGTATATACTCAGGTAAATGTAGGGTTGTATGGACACTACACTGTATATACTCAGGTAAATGTAGGGTTGTATGGACACTACACTGTATATACTCAGGTAAATGTAGGGTTGTATGGACACTACACTGTATATACTCAGGTTAAATCTAGGGTTGTATGAACACTGCAAAAGTAGCTCAACGATTTGTATGTTGTGATGGCATGGAATAATTTACTGTAGACGAACATCGCTGAACATTGCTGCTAAAACTAAAACTGTGTGTGTGTGTGTGTGTGTGTGTGTGTGTGTGTGTGTGTGTGTGTGTGTGTGTGTAGTGGACTGGAAGGTACGAGTCAGGCATGTGATGCCAAAGTGGAGGAACATCGCAGCTCTGATTATCAAGACCACAGTGAGGATGAAGAGGATGCCCGGGTGAGGATGGTGATGGTGGTGGTGAGGATGGTGATGGTGGTGGTGAGGATGAAGGGTGGTGGGGGTGAGGATGAAGGGTGGTGATGGTGGTGGTGAGGATGAAGGGTGGTGGTGGTGAGGATAGAGGGTCGTGATGGTGGTGGTGAGGATGAAGGGTGGTGGGGGTGAGGATGAAGGGTGGTGATGGTGGTGGTGAGGATGAAGGGTGGTGGTGGTGAGGATAGAGGGTCGTGATGGTGGTGGTGAGGATGAAGGGTGGTGGGGGTGAGGATGAAGGGTGGTGATGGTGGTGGTGAGGATGAAGGGTGGTGGTGGTGAGGATAGAGGGTCGTGATGGTGGTGGTGAGGATGAAGGGTGGTGGGGGTGAGGATGAAGGGTGGTGATGGTGGTGGTGATGGTGAGGATGATAATGATTATAATGAGGATGAAGAGGAGGAGGCAGAGGATGCTGATGAAGGGAGTAGTAGTAGAATGAGCATGAAAGATAGTATTTGAACCAATGTCTGGTATCTGCCCAGGTCTCTGTGTTTCCAGTTCCTGCTGCCAGTGATCCAGATCTCTCTGATGTGTCTGTGTATCGGAGGAGACCCCAAAGGAATACAGGTGGCTGTGGTCAACAATGAGACCTCCTCCAGCTCCTTCAGCCAATCCCTGCTCTCCTTCCTGGACAACTCCAGTGTGCAACAGGTACTGGACCAATCAACTGGGTGGCATTCATTAGTGCAAAGCATTTTGCAACGGAAAAGGAAAAACAGGTGTTTCTTATTGGACAAGTTCAGGTAGTCCGTCCCTGTTTCAGTCTGGAGGCAAACTAAATGTCTGTTTGTTAGTTATTAAGGGGTCAGATGGAGTTTGTTGTGGAGGGGAGGGGCACGGCCTAAAAGAGGAAGCAACCAGAGTTGCACTCTACACTCCCTGTTTACCTCGAGGTGGCTGGTTTCACTTCTGCTCTGCTCTTTATTTTTCTAAGAACACGTTCATGTGCTGTGTGTCTGTTTTAAATAAGTCAAGCAAAAGCACTTTCAGAGCTAACTCCATAATTCACCTTTTGAAAGGAATTGTGTGTTTTGTTATTACAGTACGCTGAAACAGTTTGAGTATCTACCACTGTCCTCCTGGTCAAAACCCAGTGAGCAAAATTATGTCTAAAAGACGTATAGAGTACCACATTATGAGTCATAATACCCATAAAACCTAGCTGTCAAACAGGGAAATGGTTCCAATCGTTTTTCCACCATTCATTTTCCCCATAGGGGATTTTAGAAACACTTAGAATAAGGGCTGTTTTATGTAGGCTTACCCTGGCGTGACGTTTTGTTAACTGTGTAAATCTCTTTAGGACAAGGTGACTCAATATTTTAGCCTTGCTTTTTTTCTTGCTTTGACTGTAATATATGGTTGTTTATCTACCTTAGTTGAATGCATTGACTGAAAGTCTCTGGATAAGAGCGTCTACCTAAATTACCAAAATGTAAATCTGAACATGAACACTTGCAAAGCATGCTGGGTATAATTCTAATGCACTCCGCCCCCCAAAAATACAAAATTTGGTTGGTCCGAACCTGACCAAATCTTAACCAATCATAGATGTCTATGTTTCCCAAGGTTGGAAAGCACAGTACAGTAGAGTAGAGTGCAGTACAGTACACTTTTTTTGGGCCAAATCAAGGCTGGACAGGATGTCTGTGGACGTTGAAATTAAGGCCGGTACAGAGGTCACCAGAAAACGACATCTGTGGTCGTTGAAATCAAAGCCAGGGCGGACAGACCAAATTTCAACGTCTTTTCAACATCAATGGACATAGGCATTGGACAGTGCTCACTGGGACGTAGTGCACTAGATGGAGGAATAGGGTGTCACACTGTCCTCCTGGTCAAAAGTAGTGCACTAGATGGACCAATAGGGTGTAATTTAAGACCTAGCCATAGTCACTGAGGGTGTCCCCTGTCCCTCCCTGCCCTAGTTAAACCTGTCCCATAGTCACTGAGGGTGTCCCCTGTCCCTCCCTGCCCTAGTTAAACCTGTCCCATAGTTACTGAGGGTGTCCCCTGTCCCTCCCTGCCCTAGGTGAACCTGTCCCATAGTCACTGAGGGTGTCCCCTGTCCCTCCCTGCCCTAGGTGAACCTGTCCCATAGTCACTGAGGGTGTCCCCTGTCCCTCCCTGCCCTAGTTAAACCTGTCCCATAGTCACTGAGGGTGTCCCCTGTCCCTCCCTGCCCTAGTTAAACCAGTCCCATAGTCACTGAGGGTGTCCCCTGTCCCTCCCTGCCCTAGTTAAACCTGTCCCATAGTCACTGAGGGTGTCCCCTGTCCCTCCCTGCCCTAGGTGAACCTGTCCCATAGTCACTGAGGGTGTCCCCTGTCCCTCCCTGCCCTAGGTGAACCTGTCCCATAGTTACTGAGGGTGTCCCCTGTCCCTCCCTGCCCTAGTTAAACCTGTCCCATAGTTACTGAGGGTGTCCCCTGTCCCTCCCTGCCCTAGGTGAACCTGTCCCATAGTCACTGAGGGTGTCCCCTGTCCCTCCCTTCCCTAGTTAAACCTGTCCCATAGTCACGGAGGGTGTCCCCTGTCCCTCCCTGCCCTAGGTGAACCTGTCCCATAGTCACTGAGGGTGTCCCCTGTCCCTCCCTGCCCTAGGTGAACCTGTCCCATAGTCACTGAGGGTGTCCCCTGTCCCTCCCTGCCCTAGGTGAACCTGTCCCATAGTCACTGAGGGTGTCCCCTGTCCCTCCCTTCCCTAGGTGAACCTGTCCCATAGTCACTGAGGGTGTCCACTGTCCCTCCCTGCCCTAGGTGAACCTGTCCCACGCTGAGGCTTTTGCAGGGGCCTATAACGGAGAGTACTGGGGCGTCATCGGGTTTGGAAGAATTTCACCAGCTATGAAAAAGCTGGAGTCCCTTTAAAGAAATGGAGACTTGATTGATTACGGAAAGAGTCTGTCGATGTATACTATACTTTACAAAAAATTGTTATTATAACTAAGGTTTACTCGTCATATTCTGTTGAGTATTATGTATATTATTCAGAATATATCTGGGGGAGGTCTGAGGGGGACAAGGTTTATGGGCCTTGAGAGCGAGGGGAGAGGAGCGATTAGAAAGGGGGGGGAGGATTCGAGGATGGGGGAGAGGAGCGGGAGAGGGGAGAGAGGGAAAGGGAGAGGGAGGAGCGCGAGAGAGAAGTCGAGGAAGAGAGGGAGAAAGTGGGGACGAAGAGAGGGGAGAGTGAGTAGGGAAGAGAGGAGAGAAAAGGGGAGGAGAAAGGGGGGGAGGGAGGGGACGGCGAGGGGGAGGAAGGGGGGGAAGGGGGAGAGGAGGGGGGAGGGGGGAGGGGGGGGGGGAGCGGAAGGGAGGGAAAAGGAGGGGGGGAAGGAAGGGGGGGAAGAGGGGAGGGGAAAAGAAGGCGGGGGGAGAGGGGAAAGGGGAGGGGGGGGAAAGGGGGGGGGGAGAGGAGGGGAAAGGGAGGGGGAAAAGGGGGGGGGGAAAAGGGAGGGGAGGGGGGCGGGAGAGGAGGGAAGGGGGAGGGGGGAGGGGGGAGAGGAGGGGAGAAAGAGGAGGGGGAGAGGAGAGGGGGAGGGGGGGGAGGAGAGGAGGGAGAGGAAAGGGGGGGAGAGGAGAGGGGGAGGGAGAGGAGGGAGGGAGGAAAAGGGGAGGGGAGGGAGAGGAAAAGGAAAGGGGAGAAAGGGAAAAGAAAGCAAGAGAAAGGAAGAAAAAAAAGAAAAAAAAGAAACAAAAAGTTAGAAAAAAAAAAAAAGAGAAGAAAAGAAGAAAGAGAAGAGGGGGAAAGAGAAGAGAAGAGGAAAAGGGGGGAGGAGAGGAGAGGGGGGAGAAGGGAGGGGGGGGGAAGAGGGGGGGAGAGGGGGGGGGAAAAGGGGGGGGAGAGGAGAGGAGGGGGGAGGGGGGGGAGAGGGAGGGGGAAGAAGAGGCGGGGGCGCGGGGGGGGGGGAGGCGGGGGGAGGGGGGAGGGGGGGGGAGAAGAGAGGGAAAAGGGAGAGAGGAGGGGAAGGGGGGGAAAAGGGAGGGGGAGAGGAGAGGAGGGAGGGAGGGAGGGAGGGGAGAAGAGGAGAGGAAAAGGAAGAGAAGAAGGAAGGGAAAAGAGGAAGAGGGGGGGGGGGAAAAGAGAGAGAGAAAGAAAAAGAAGAAGAAAAGAAAGAGAAGAAAAAGAGAAAAAGGGAAAAAGCAAGAGAGAAGAGGAAAGGGAAAGAGGGAAAGAAAGAAGAGAAGGAAAGGAGGGGGAGGGAGAGGAGAGGAGAGGAGAGCGAGAGGATCTTGTCGGGATAGGATATGGAGGAGGGGTACTTCTCTTCTCTTCTCTTCTTCTCTTCTCTTCTCTTCTCTTCTCTTCTCTTCTTCTCTTCTCTTCTCTTTCTCTTCTCTTCTCTTCTCTCCTCTCCTCTCTTCTGTTCTCCTCTCTTCTCCTCTTCTCTTTTAAACACTGTCAATAACCAGGTTTCCATCCACAGTTTTTATGTGAGTAAAGTCATACCGTATATTTTTTTTTATTAAAGAATGTATCATGACGGTTGTGATGGAAACAGTTAGTTCCGGTACAATTCTATAAATGCTGACAGATCATTTGTTCAATCGACATGGTGGGACCTTTTTGTGTCGGTAAAATGCGCAAATATTGATATAATAACCATCAATAAGAAGTCAACTTGGAGCCACGCGATGACATGTTGTATGGTCTCCCACTGCGACTCAGGAAAGCATGCAGTTTATTAGGCTACAGATGAAATAAGTTAAGATGAACTTCACAGGGTGGTGAAAGTGCAAGGTGATGAGCTTGATGCTCCTTTCCAATAAATATCGAGGGTCTTATTCTGGTGACATGATGATCGATGCTTAACTGCCACTTATCCATAATAATGTCATAATGTAGACTAGCCAACCCACACATCCTATCCACTCTGTATCTGGGAGCTGTTGGCTAGAGCGCACGTGCCAAGACCAGAGGAGGCACATTTGCGATTTAACGCAACAGTTTTTGTGACAAAACTATCGGTAAAGTTGAAAATTCGATGGAAACGCATTGAACTTTTAGATTAATTTTCAGTACATGAAAACTACGTAATCATGGACTGACTTTTATCCACAACAAGTCAGTTTGGTGGAATCACACCACTCGTGGGAAATATTATTTTCTTTATGCGGATAAAGACGCTCCTCGGATGTGGCAGGGCTTGAAAACTATTACAGACTACAAAGGGAAGCACAGGGGTAGGGTAGGTAACAACACATCTGCCACGCTGATCCTCAACACGGGGGCCCCTCAGGGGTGCGTGCTCAGTCCCCTCCTGTACTCCCTGTTCACCCATGACTGCATGGCCGCACACGACTCCAACACCATCATTAAGTTTGCTGACAACACAACAGTGGTAGGCCTGATCACCAACAACGATGAGACAGCCTATAGAGAGGAGGTCAGAGACCTGGCCGTGTGGTGCCAGGATAACAACCTCTCCCTCAACGTGATCAAGACAAAGGAGATGATTGTGGACTACAGGAAAAAAAAAGAGGACTGAGCACGCCCCCATTCTCATCGAAGGGGCTGTAGTGGAACAGGTTGAGAGCTTCAAGTTCCTTGGTGTCCACATCACCAACGAATGATCATGGTCCAAACACACCAAGACAGCCGTGAAGAGGGCACGACAAAGCCTATTCCCCTCAGGAGACTGAAAAGATTTGGCATGGGTCCTCAGATCCTCAAAAAGTTATACAGCTGCACCATCGAGAGCATCCTGACTGGTTGCATCACCGCCTGGTATGGCAACTGCTTGGCCTCCGACCGCAAGGCACTACAGAGGGTAGTGCGTACGGCCCAGTACATCACTGAGGCCAAGCTTCCTGCCATCCAGGACCTCTATACCAGGCGGTGTCAGAGGAAGGCCCTCAAAATTGTCAAAGACTCCAGCCACCATAGTCATAGACTGTTCTCTCTGCTACCGCACGGCAAGCGGTACTGGAGCGCCAAGTCTAGGTCCAAAAGGCTCCTTAACAGCTTCTACCCCCAAGCCTTAAGACTCCTGAACAGCTAATCATGGCTACCCGGACTATTTGCACTGCCACCCCACCCCATCCCCCTCTTTTACGTTGCTGCTACTCTGTTTATTATTTATGCATAGTCACTTTAACTCTACCCACATGTACATATTACCTCAATTACCTCGACTAGCCGGTGCCCCCGCACATTGACTCTGCACCGGTACCCCCCATTGTTTGTTAAGGGCTTGTAAGTAAGCATTTCACTGTAATGTCTACACCTGTTGTATTCGGCGCATGTGGCAAATAACATTTGATTTGATTTTAGGATATTCGCATGAAGATCTGTCGCCAATTGGATGGAAACCTAGCTATTGACTTGGATGGAAACCTAGCTATTGACTTGCAATGCTGTTGGTTAAGGCCCCCAATGTAAAACCAAGGTCATTGTCTAGATTCATCTCTAGAGCAATGGAGACCTGTGTACCTTCAAGTGGCCAATGTGACTGACAGAAAGCGTTCCATTATCTAACAGATAGACACATGCACACATACAAACACACACATATTCACACACACTCACATTGAATCACAAATCACAGGGATGTCATCAACATGCGACGATGACTATCTGTGGTGAGGAAGGGTACAGTAATATATCTTCAGGAGCCAATCACAGCACTACAGTCACCAGTATGTCTATCTGTGTCAGTGTGTATCTGTGTACTAATTATATGTCACTGAATGACACACACACACACACACGGGCTGGTCAGGTAGCTTAATGGTTTAGGATGCGTTCCATAGCGATGGTCAAAAGTAGTGGTCTATATAGGGAATAGGATGCCATTTGGGATTCAGACTTAGCTTTGTTCTGTCACACGCAACCCCAGACATGTATCATTTGAAACCTTCGTGACTGTCTGGAGTTCAAGTTGTTTTCTTACACTGAACCAAAATAAATGCAACATGTAAAGTGTTGGTCCCATGTTTCATTAGCAGAAATTAAAGATCCCAGAAATGTTCCATATGCACAAAAAGCTTATTTCTTTCAGATTTGTTGTACAAATTTGTTTACATCTCTGTTAGTGAGCATTTCTCCTTTGCCAAGATAATCCATCCACCTGACAGGTGTGGCATATCAAGAAGCTGATTAACCAACATGATCATTACACCTTGTGCTGGGGACAATAAAATGTGCAGTTTTGAAACACAACACAATGCCACAGATGTCTCAAGTTTTGAGGGAGCGTACAATTGACTTGCTGACTGTAGGAATGTCCACCAGAGCTGTTGCCAGAGAATTAAATGTTAATTTCTCTACCATAAGCCGCCTCCAGTGTTGTTTTCGAGAATTTGGCAGTACGTCCAACCGGCCTCACAACCGCAGACCACATGTATGGCGTCATGTGAGTGAGTGGTTTGCTGATGTCAACGTTGTGAACAGAGTGCCCCATGGTGGCAGTGGGGTTATGGTATAGGCAGGCATAACCTACAAACAACGAACACAATTGCATTTTATCGATGGCAATTTGAATGCACAGAGATACCGTAACGAGATCCTGAGGCCCATTGTCGTGCCATTCATCCACCGCCACATCACTTAAGTATCATTGTTTCAGTATCATAATGCACGGCCCCATGTCGCAATAATCTGTCCCAGTTCATCCATGGCCTGCATACTCACCAGACATGTCACCCGTTGAGCATGTTTGGGATGCTCTGGATCAACGTGTACGACAGTGTGTTCCAGTTCCTGCCGATATCCAACAACTTCGCACAGCCATTGAAGAGGAGTGGGACAACATTCCACAGGCCACAATCAACAGCCTGATCAACTCTATGCGAACGAGATGTGTCGCGCTGCATGAGGCAAATGGTGGTCACACTTTTTAAAAAGTTATCTGACCAACAGATGCATCTCTGTATTCCCAGTCATGTGAAATCCATAGATTAGGGCCTAATTAATTATTTTAATTGACTGATTTCCTTATATGAACTGTAACTCAGTAAAATCTTTGAAATGTAGCATGTTGCATTTATATTTTTGTTGAGTATACATTATACACCAATATGTTCTTCGACTGTGTGGGCCGGTTTCTCAGACAGACACAGATTAAGCGTAGTCCTGGACCCAAAAAATTTGAATGCCAGGGAAACCATCATTGTGTGCAAGGAAAATGGAACCAAATACTTAACTTTTGACTACTTTAATACACTATGAGTACATTTGTCCAAATACTTATGACTTCTTCACATCGGGGGACTAGATACATAAAGTGCTTTCATTTCTAAATGGTAAAACAGATATGTATGAGAATACCCTCAAATAAAAGGTGACTTTCTGTACTGTCGCCTCGTATGAAACATTTGTTGGAGTATAGAGCCAAATGTACAATTGTAACTTCACTGTCCAAATACATATGGAGGGGAGGGTATGTTGAATATCAGTGGAATGTGTCTTGTGATGTATGCCTGTAATGTTACCAAGCAATAAAGTACTCATGTCTCTGTTCTGCAGTGTGTGTTGTATTGTACAGGATCCTTACTGTATCATGTCTCTGTTCTGTATTATATTTACATCCAGAGTGACTTACAGGAGCAATTAGGGTAAAGTGCCTTGCTCAAGGGCACATCGACAGATTTTTCAGCTAGTCGGCTCAGGGATTAGAACCAGCGACCTTTTGGTTACGCTCTTAACCACTAAGCTACCTGCCGCCCCATGACAGGATCCTTACTGTATCATGTCTGTTCTGTTCTGTGGTGTGTGTTGTATTGTACAGGATCCTTACTGTATCATGTCTCTGTTCTGTGGTGTGTTGTATTGTACAGGATGATCCAGCGCCAGGTCTCTAAGGAGGTAGTGGATGGAGGGTCGGTGCACGTCTGGCTGGACCTGACCAGTAAGCTCTCACTCCACAGTCTGTTGGCATGTGACAATGTGTGAGAGAATTCACCCTCAGAGAGACTAGAATAGAATTAGAAGAGAATAGATAATGGTAGAACAGAATACAATACAATAGAGACGTTGGCTATGAAATTGACCACTAGGTGGTAGTGTAACTGTGTGGGTCTTCTGAATGATGGAGATTGGAAAAAGGCATTTTAATGATTTTTAAAAGATGTTGATTAAACTTGAGAGGTTTTTATTACACACAAAGGTTTATTAAATTGATCAATCAAATGCGTTTTTCAGTCGATAATAGACTTGATAATGATGACATTGTTTTCACCTTTCACCTAGTGTGTTTTGTCATCAGATCAACAGATCGCCATGATGCTTCAGAAGAAACTAGCAGACGCCTTTGAGGTACACCAGAGTTCCCTGTTCTTTCTTTAGTGCAGATCTACATGCTCTTTACTTCAATGTGAAGTTTGCTTTATTGTTCATGGCGTCGTCTGGCTTTCAAAATCTTACTTATACAGATGATATCTTTATTTCATCTAATTTAATCCAATACACACTGACTGTATGGCAGCAGGGTATTTCTCCCTCATCTGGACTGATCTAAAAAACACCATGGATGAAAGTAACATGGCAAATCAATGCCTACTGGGAATTAGCTTTCAACTGTCTAGTTTTTTTTTTACATCAGTGCAGATTAAGGAAATGTGACAAGGTGAGGAAGTCACCTGTTTAGACTATTGAGATGCACCCCAGCTGTTGAAGTAGCTTGTTTAGACTATTGAGATGCACCCCAGCTGTTGATCAAGACTACATCCAGTAGTGGACTGAAACAGACTGTCTGTTCCCTCCTCAGGATTTCGTCCAGTATAAGATGGGGAACATGTCTTACCTGGCCTCTTTTCCTGTCAAGGTATGACAAGAATAACCCCTTAAAAACCTGTCTGAATCCCAAATGGAACCCTATTCCCAAGGCCCATAGGGCTCTGGTAAAAAGTAGTGCACTATGTAGGGAATATGGTGCCATTTGGGATGCACAGCCTGTGTTGATAGTATTCTGCCATCCACATCCACTAGCCTCGATGCTAACCTAGCTTCTTTATGCTATAGTGACATGTTGTCTTGCCAAGACCATTGATTCTGATGAAGGCCAGAGAGTCACACATATTCCTTCTAAAAGAATGTGATGTAGCCTGCATTATTGAATGTATAACCATGGTCCATTCCATTGGTCCCTGATGAATACACAGATGCACGGTGCACTGGGGGTAAAATATTCAACTCACTATTTCTCTTTGTCACGTTTCTCTTTCCAGTTTGAGGAGCCCATCTATGGCAGCCTGAACTCAGACTTCACCACGTTTGTGACACCAGGAGCCGTTCTGAGGTAGAGATTCAGTCCACGTCTGAACCTAGTCAGCATTATGAGCGAAGCTTGTAAAGATACTGTAAGGTGTCTTAGCTAGTATTGGAGCGAGCCTGTATTCTGCCTACTCAGATCCGTGAACACCAGAGATGCTGAAGATGAGAGAGCAGGCAGCATGACCTAGAGGATAGCTGAGAGAACAGGCATCATGGTGTGATCAATCTGCATGGAAAGAATCGTCTTGAGCAGCTATAGGCAGCAGCGACAGAACCCGGAAGCAAGCCGTCAGAAGATTAGCGACGACGAACGGGAACGGAGCAGGATGAGATTACGATTCCCGACCGCCGCGACACTAGACATGTCCCATGAGACCAGAACTCGCCGGAGTACGTGAAACGTCCAGCCTGCAGACCGCAGCAACCAACGCGGTCGCGACGAGCCAGCTCACCCACCCCGACAACGGCGGTCAGAGACGACAAAAAGAGGCGAGCCACGCAGCATGCCCGACAGCAAAGGCATCGCAGACGCGGAAACGCATCGCTCAGCGAGATCCGATGTAGAGAGGAAAGAAAGATGAGCAGAGGAAAGCATGCCAAGCAAAGAGAGAGAGACCCACACGTATGCGTGTCGTCGTAACACCACTCATGGTAGCTACCTCCCTGACTCTTCTTCTCTCTCTCCCCCTCCCTTCTTCTCTCTCTCTTCCCCTCCCTTTCTTATCTCTCTCTCTCCCTCCCTTCTCTCTCTACACAGCATCACTTTCTACCTGGCAGTGGGCTTGACGGCTCTCTCCTTCGTGATAGAGAGGAAAGAGGGACTAATGGACAGGTGCTGGGTTGCAGGTAAGAGGTCAAAGTTCATTAAGTGGATAGCAATCTTTGTCCCAAATGGCACCCTATACCCTATTTAGTGTACTACTTTTGACAAGGGCCCAAGTGTCCCCAATGCCACCCTATTCTCTATATAGCGCACCACTATGCGCCCTGGTCAAAAGTAGTGCACTATATAGGGCAGGGGTATTCAACTCTTACCCTACGAGGTCCGGAGTACTGCTGGTTTTCTGTTCTACCTGATAATGAATTGCACCCAGCTGGTGTCCCAGGTCTAAATCAGTCCCCAGTGGAACTGGCTTCAAGGTCCAGAGTTGAGTTTGAAGGATATAGGGAATAGGGTTCCATTTGAGATGGATATAGGGAATAGGGTTCCATTTGTGAGGGATATAGGGAATAGGGTTCCATTTGTGAGGGATATAGGGAATAGGGTTCCATTTGAGATGGATATAGGGAATAGGGTTCCATTTGAGATGGATATAGGGAATAGGGTTCCATTTGTGATGGATATAGGGAATAGGGTTCCATTTGTGAGGGATATAGGGAATAGGGTTCCATTTGAGATGGATATAGGGAATAGGGTTCCATTTGTGAGGGATATAGGGAATAGGGTTCCATTTGAGATGGATATAGGGAATAGGGTTCCATTTGAGATGGATATAGGGAATAGGGTTCCATTTGTGATGGATATAGGGAATAGGGTTCCATTTGAGATGGATATAGGGAATATGGTTCCATTTGAGATGGATATAGGGAATAGGTATCCATTTGTGATGGATATAGGGAATAGGGTTCCATTTGAGATGGATATAGGGAATAGGGTTCCATTTGTGATGGATATAGGGAATAGGGTTCCATTTGTGATGGATATAGGGAGTAGGGTTCCATTTGTGATGGATATAGGGAATAGGGTTCCATTTGAGATGGATATAGGGTTCCATTTGAGATGGATATAGGGTTCCATTTGAGATGGATATAGGGAATAGGGTTCCATTTGAGATGGATATAGGGAATAGGGTTCCATTTGAGATGGATATAGGGAATAGGGTTCCATTTGAGATGGATATAGGGAATAGGGTTCCATTTGAGATGGATATAGGGAATAGGGTTCCATTTGAGATGGATATAGGGAATAGGGTTCCATTTGTGATGGATATAGGGAATAGGGTTCCATTTGTGAGGGATATAGGGAATAGGGTTCCATTTGTGATGGATATAGGGAATAGGGTTCCATTTGAGATGGATATAGGGAATAGGGTTCCATTTGTGAGGGATATAGGGAATAGGGTTCCATTTGTGATGGATATAGGGAATAGGGTTCCATTTGAGATGGATATAGGGAATAGGGTTCCATTTGTGATGGATATAGGGAATAGGGTTCCATTTGTGATGGATATAGGGAGTAGGGTTCCATTTGTGATGGATATAGGGAATAGGGTTCCATTTGAGATGGATATAGGGTTCCATTTGAGATGGATATAGGGTTCCATTTGAGATGGATATAGGGAATAGGGTTCCATTTGAGATGGATATAGGGAATAGGGTTCCATTTGAGATGGATATAGGGAATAGGGTTCCATTTGAGATGGATATAGGGAATAGGGTTCCATTTGAGATGGATATAGGGAATAGGGTTCCATTTGAGATTGATATAGGGAATAGGGTTCCATTTGAGATGGATATAGGGAATAGGGTTCCATTTGTGATGGATATAGGGAATAGGGTTCCATTTGAGATGGATATAGGGTTACATTTGTGAGGGATATAGGGAATAAGGTTCCATTTGTGAGGGATATAGGGAATAGGGTTCCATTTGTGAGGGATATAGGGAATAGGGTTCCATTTGTGAGGGATATAGGGAATAGGGTTCCATTTGAGATGGATATAGGGAATAGGGTTCCATTTGAGATGGATATAGGGAATAGGGTTCCATTTGTGATGGATATAGGGAATAGGGTTCCATTTGTAAGGGATATAGGGAATAGGGTTTCATTTGTGAGGGATATAGGGAATAGGGTTCCATTTGTGAGGGATATAGGGAATAGGGTTCCATTTGAGATGGATATAGGGAATAGGGTTCCATTTGAGATGGATATAGGGAATAGGGTTCCATTTGAGATGGATATAGGGAATAGGGTTCCATTTGTGATTGATATAGGGAATAGGGTTCCATTTGTGAGGGATATAGGGAATAGGGTTCCATTTGTGAGGGATATATGGAATAGGGTTCCATTTGAGATGGATATAGGGAATAGGGTTCCATTTGAGATGGATATAGGGAATAGGGTTCCATTTGTGATGGATATAGGGAATAGGGTTCCATTTGAGATGGATATAGGGAATAGGGTTCCATTTGAGATGGATATAGGGAATAGGGTTCCATTTGAGATGGATATAGGGAATAGGGTTCCATTTGTGATGGATATAGGGAATAGGGTTCCATTTGAGATGGATATAGGGAATAGGGTTCCATTTGAGATGGATATAGGGAATAGGGTTCCATTTGAGATGGATATAGGGAATAGGGTTCCATTTGAGATGGATATAGGGAATAGGGTTCCATTTGTGATGGATATAGGGAATAGGGTTCCATTTGTGATGGATATAGGGAATAGGGTTCCATTTGAGATGGATATAGGGAATAGGGTTCCATTTGTGATGGATATAGGGTTCCATTTGAGATGGATATAGGGTTCCATTTGAGATGGATATAGGGAATAGGGTTCCATTTGTGATGGATATAGGGTTCCATTTGAGATGGATATAGGGAATAGGGTTCCATTTGTGAGGGATATAGGGAATAAGGTTCCATTTGTGAGGGATATAGGGAATAGGGTTCCATTTGTGAGGGATATAGGGAATAGGGTTCCATTTGTGAGGGATATAGGGAATAGGGTTCCATTTGTGAGGGATATAGGGAATAGGGTTCCATTTGTGAGGGATATAGGGAATAGGGTTCCATTTGTGAGGGATATAGGGAATAGGGTTCCATTTACATTTACATTTTAGTCATTTAGCAGACGCTCTTATCCAGAGCGACTTACAGGAGCAATTAGGGTTAAGTGCCTTGCTCAAGGGCACATTTACGTCATTTAGCAGACGCTCTTATCCAGAGCGACTCACAAATTGGTGCATTCACCCTATAGCCAGTGGGATAACCACTTTACAATTTTTTTTTTGGGGGGGGGGGGGTAGAAGGATTACTTTATCCTATCCCAGGTATTCCTTAAAGAGGTGGGGTTTCAAATGTCTCCGGAAGGTGGTGAGTGACTCCGCTGTCCTGGCGTCGTGAGGGAGCTTGTTCCACCATTGGGGTGCCAGAGCAGCGAACAGTTTTGACTGGGCTGAGCGGGAACTATGCTTCCGCAGAGGAAGGGGAGCCAGCAGGACAGAGGTGGATGAACGCAATGCCCTCGTTTGGGTGTAGGGACTGATCAGAGCCCGAAGGTACAGAGGTGCCGTTCCCCTCACTGCTCCATAGGCAAGCACCATGGTCTTGTAACGGATGCGAGCTTCAACTGGAAGCCAGTGGAGTGTGCGGAGGAGGGGGGTGACGTGAGAGAACTTGGGAAGGTTGAACACCAGACGGGCTGCGGCGTTCTGGATGAGTTGTAGGGGTTTAATGGCACAGGCAGGGAGGCCAGCCAACAGCGAGTTGCAGTAATCAAGACGGGAGATGACAAGTGCCTGGATTAGGACCTGTGCCGCTTCCTGTGTAAGGCAGGGTCGTACTCTCCGAATGTTGTAGAGCATGAACCTGCAGGAGCGGGTCACCGCCTTGATGTTAGCGGAGAACGACAGGGTGTTGTCCAGGGTCACGCCAAGGCTCTTCGCACTCTGGGAGGAGGACACAACGGAGTTGTCAACCGTGATGGCGAGATCATGGAACGGGCAGTCCTTCCCCGGGAGGAAGAGCAGCTCCGACTTGCCAGGGTTCAGCTTGAGGTGGTGATCCGTCATCCATACTGATATGTCTGCCAGACATGCAGAGATGCGATTCGCCACCTGGTTATCAGAAGGGGGAAAGGAGAAGATTAGTTGTGTATCGTCAGCGTAGCAATGATAGGAGAGGCCATGTGAGGATATGACAGAGCCAAGTGACTTGGTGTATAGGGAGAAAAGGAGAGGGCCTAGAACTGAGCCCTGGGGGACACCAGTGGTGAGAGCACGTGGTGCGGAGACAGCTTCTCGCCACGCCACGCCACTTGGTAGGAGCGACCGGTCAGGTAGGACGCAATCCAGGAGTGAGCCGCGCCGGAGATGCCCAGCTCGGAGAGGGTGGAGAGGAGGATCTGATGGTTCACAGTATCAAAGGCAGCAGACAGGTCTAGAAGGACAAGAGCAGAGGAGAGAGAGTTAGCTTTAGCAGTGCGGAGAGCCTCCGTGACACAGAGAAGAGCAGTCTCAGTTGAATGACCAGTCCTGAAACCTGACTGGTTTGGATCAAGAAGGTCATTCTGAGAGAGATAGCAAGAGAGTTGGCTAAAGACGGCACGCTCAATAGTTTTGGAAAGAAAAGAAAGAAGGGATACTGGTCTGTAGTTGTTGACATCAGTGGGATCGAGTGTTGGTTTTTTGAGAAGGGGAGCAACTCTCGCTCTCTTGAAGACGGAAGGGACATGGCCAGCGGTCAAGGATGAGTTGATCAGCGAGGTGAGGTAGGGGAGAAGGTCACCGGAGATGGTCTGGAGAAGAGAGGAGGGGATGGGGTCAAGCTGGCAGGTTGTTGGGCGGCCTGCAGTCACAAGTCGCAGGATTTTATCTGGAGAGAGAGGGGATTAGGGAATAGGGTTCCATTTGTGATGGATATAGGGAATAGGGTTCCATTTGAGATGGATATAGGGAATAGGGTTCCATTTGAGATGGATATAGGGAATAGGGTTCCATTTGAGATGGATATAGGGAATAGGGTTCCATTTGAGATGGATATAGGGAATAGGGTTCCATTTGTGATGGATATAGGGAATATGGTTCCATTTGTGATGGATATAGGGAATAGGGTTCCATTTGAGATGGATATAGGGAATAGGGTTCCATTTGTGATGGATATAGGGTTCCATTTGAGATGGATATAGGGTTCCATTTGAGATGGATATAGGGAATAGGGTTCCATTTGTGATGGATATAGGGTTCCATTTGAGATGGATATAGGGAATAGGGTTCCATCTGTGAGGGATATAGGGAATAAGGTTCAATTTGTGAGGGATATAGGGAATAGGGTTCCATTTGTGAGGGATATAGGGAATAGGGTTCCATTTGTGAGGGATATAGGGAATAGGGTTCCATTTGTGAGGGATATAGGGAATAGGGTTCCATTTGTGAGGGATATAGGGAATAGGGTTCCATTTGTGAGGGATATAGGGAATAGGGTTCCATTTGTGATGGATATAGGGAATAGGGTTCCATTTGAGATGGATATAGGGAATAGGGTTCCATTTGAGATGGATATAGGGAATAGGGTTCCATTTGAGATGGATATAGGGAATAGGGTTCCATTTGAGATGGATATAGGGAATAGGGTTCCATTTGTGATGGATATAGGGAATAGGGTTCCATTTGTGATGGATATAGGGAATAGGGTTCCATTTGTGATGGATATAGGGAATAGGGTTCCATTTGAGATGGATATAGGGAATAGGGTTCCATTTGTGATGGATATAGGGTTCCATTTGAGATGGATATAGGGTTCCATTTGAGATGGATATAGGGAATAGGGTTCCATTTGTGATGGATATAGGGTTCCATTTGAGATGGATATAGGGAATAGGGTTCCATTTGTGAGGGATATAGGGAATAAGGTTCCATTTGTGAGGGATAAGGGAATAGGGTTCCATTTGTGAGGGATATAGGGAATAGGGTTCCATTTGTGAGGGATATAGGGAATAGGGTTCCATTTGTGAGGGATATAGGGAATAGGGTTCCATTTGTGAGGGATATAGGGAATAGGGTTCCATTTGTGAGGGATATAGGGAATAGGGTTCCATTTGTGATGGATATAGGGAATAGGGTTCCATTTGAGATTGATATAGGGAATAGGGTTCCATTTGAGATGGATATAGGGAATAGGGTTCCATTTGAGATGGATATAGGGAATAGGGTTCCATTTGAGATGGATATAGGGAATAGGGTTCCATTTGTGATGGATATAGGGAATAGGGTTCCATTTGTGATGGATATAGGGAATAGGGTTCCATTTGTGATGGATATAGGGAATAGGGTTCCATTTGTGATGGATATAGGGTTCCATTTGAGATGGATATAGGGTTCCATTTGAGATGGATATAGGGAATAGGGTTCCATTTGTGATGGATATAGGGTTCCATTTGAGATGGATATAGGGAATAGGGTTCCATTTGTGAGGGATATAGGGAATAAGGTTCCATTTGTGAGGGATATGGGGAATAGGGTTCCATTTGTGAGGGATATAGGGAATAGGGTTCCATTTGTGAGGGATATAGGGAATAGGGTTCCATTTGTGAGGGATATAGGGAATAGGGTTCCATTTGTGAGGGATATAGGGAATAGGGTTCAATTTGTGAGGGATATAGGGAATAGGGTTCAATTTGTGAGGGATATAGGGAATAGGGTTCCATTTGAGATGCTTTGACAGTTTCTGGTCATTATCGATGTACTGACCAGTACAGACCACTAGTGGGAGTTGTTGGCTCATCATGAGCAGGAGATCTGGTTAAATCCCCATGGGCCAGTTTTTCAGAAATATATATTTTTTTATTCTCCCCACCTTTACTCTTCCTTTTCTCCTGTCCCACTATTCTCTCCCTACTCCCTCTTTCTCCTGTCTCTGTCTCTGTCTCTGTCTCTGTCTCTGTCTCTGTCTCCGTCTCTGTCTCTCTCTCTCTCCAGGTGTTAGTTCGTTGGAGACCGTGCTGGCCCATCTCATCTCCCAGCTGTTTGTCATCAGCATCCAGGTCATTCTACTACTGCTCTTAATGCTGCTCGTCTTCAAGGTAACACACACACACACACACACAGACACACACAGACACACACACACAGACACACACACACACACACACACGTACACACACACACACACACACACACACACAGACACACACAGACACACACACACAGACACACACAGACACACACACACACACACAGACACACACACACACACACACACGTACACACATACAAACACACACACGTTGACACCATCCGTCTTCATCAGCAAGGCTTATCATGACTCCTGAATGATTGAAGGTCCCTGCCTCGTGTTCCCATCCCTGTTCCACTGGTGTGGTGTTCACACACTGAGCAGCAAGGTGTGACTGTGGAGATGTATATTCTGGAGTGTTAAGTAATATGGGTGATAGTCTGTATGTCAGGGTTCGCCTGTATAGCTTGAAAGCAACTATTATTTTTTTTATGCGAGCTGCATAATTTTTTATAGCTTTCAAATAGACATTATTTTCTCCTCTGCCCTGGAATAAAATAATAATAATTACCATAAACCTCAATATAATATGGCAGCGGAATTACATTAGAAACTTTTCTTCAACAATGTGTTAGAAAAATGAAAGTAAAAGTATGTGAAAGATATACAATCGTTTTTGAACCCAGGTCTGGATAGGTCAACCTGAGGACAATGGATGAATATAAACTTTAGACTCAATTGATTGTCAATAGGAACGTGGATGGAACTGTTGTTGGTGGGTGGCATTTAGCCTTAACTGCTTAGGATGGTGTGTGTGTGTGTGTGTGTGTGTGTGTGTGTGTGTGTGTGTTTTTAATGACTGTGACAGTCCAAAGAGGTGACTGGAGTATAAATCTCTTCCTCTGCCTCTACCTGAGTCCATCGTATCTAAGGATCACTACGGAATAGCCACGACAACAGCCTTTGATTGCTGTGGCATCCGAGCGTCCATGTGCCCTCTCCATGCAGTCTATTTCTACACGTTGTCAGTGGAGCCAGATAGATAGACGGACACCCACCCCCAGGTCTCTGTACTATGACAATAGAAAGACTCAGGACCTTATGCAACACACACTATATCATTGTATAACATGACATGCTCTTTCACCTTTACTTCCTATTTTTTACCATCCCTCCTTTTCTGTCTTTCTTTCTCTCACTTTTTACTGTCTTTCTCCTCCCACATATTCTCTCTCTCTCCCCTCTCCCTCCCCTTCCACCTCTCCCTCCCTCCTCTTCCGCCTCCCTCCCTCACCTCTCCTCCCTTCCCTTCCACCTCTCCCTCCCTCCCTCCTCCTCCTCCTCCTCCTCCTCCTCCCTCCTCCTCCCCTCCTCCCTCCCTCCCCGTCCCTCCCTCCCTCCCTCCCTCCCTCCCTCCTCTCCTCCACCTCTCCCTCCCTCCCTCCTCCTCCCTCCCTCCCTCCCTCCTCCCTCCCCCTCCCTCCCTCCTCTCCTCCACCTCTCCCTCCCTTCCTCCCTCCCTCCACTCCTCCACCTCTCCCTCTTCCACCTCCCCTCTCCCTCCCTCCTCCTCCTCCTCCCTCCCCTCTCCTCCACCTCTCCCTCCCTCCTCCACCTCTCCCTCCCTCCTCCACCTCGCCCTCCCTCCTCCACCTCTCTCCAGATTCCTAACGAGGGGAACCTGGTGTTGGTGATTGCTCTGATCGTGCTGCAGGGTGTAACAGGCATTTCCTTTGGTCTGGTCATCTCATCCTCTATCGATGATGAACAGAACGCCAACCAGGCTGCCCTGGGTATCTTCTACCCCAATCTCATCGTCAGTGGTACGTCACACACGCTAGCACGCACACACACCAAACCTGGGTTCAAATACATGTGTATTTGTTATTTAAAAACGTATTTTCTGTGTATTTAATCATGTTGCCTAAATCAATTTCTATTGACAGTATTTTAAAGTATTTTCAAATGATTTCCTATTAATAGCCTACTATTTGGAAGTTCTTTCATACTTTTTTCAAATACTATTTTCAAATGCCTCGGTTGAATGCCTCAGTTAAATGCCTCTGTTAAATGCCTCGGTTAAATGCCTCGGTTAAATGCCTCTGTTAAATGCCTCGGTTAAATGCCTCGGTTAAATGCCTCGGTTAAATGCCTCGGTTAAATGCCTCGGTTAAATGCCTCAGTTAAATGCCTCTGTTAAATGCCTCGGTTAAATGCCTCGGTTAAATGCCTCGGTTAAATGCCTCGGTTAAATGCACGGGAGTGTTTGAGTATTTTCAGCTACTTGTCTTTTCAAATAAAAAATATGTAAATACTTCTAAATGTCTTAAAGTAATTAAAATACCCTAAATAGTATTTGAACCCAGGTCTTACACACACAAGGACACACGCTAGCATGCACACACACACACACACACATACACACACACACACACACACATACACAAACCTCAGTGGTCTTTTTGGGGGGGTTGGTCACTATGTCAATATACAATATTATCTCTTGCATGTTTTCACAATGAAGTGTAAATACATTTTATTCAGTTCAGTTAAATTCCAGTTCAGTTCTTACAACTCATTCTCTAAGACTCTCTCTCTTTCTCTAAGACTCTCTTTCTCTAAGACTCTCTCTTTCTCTAAGACTCTTTCTCTAAGACTCTCTCTCTTTCTCTAAGACGCTCTCTCTTTCTCTAAGACTCTCTCTTTCTCTAAGACTCTCTTTCTCTAAGACTCTCTCTTTCTCTAAGACACTCTCTTTCTCTAAGACTCTCTTTCTCTAAGACGCTCTCTCTTTCTCTAAGACTTTCTCTTTCTCTAACTCTCTCTTTCTCTAAGACTCTATCTTTCTCTAAGACTCTCTCTCTTTTTCTTAGACTCTTTTTCTCTCTCTCTCTTTCTCTAAGATGCTCTCTCTTTCTCTAAGACTCTCTCTTTAAGACTCTCTCTTTCTCTAAGACGCTCTCTCTTTCTCTAAGACGCTCTCTCTTTCTCTAAGACTCTCTTTCTCTAAGACGCTCTCTCTTTCACTAAGACTCTCTCTTTCTCTAAGACTCTCTTTCTCTAAGACTCTCTTTCTCTAAGACACTCTGTTTCCTCCTCTCCCTACAGGTATAATCTGGCCTGTGGAGTGCATTCCCTATCCACTACGTTACATCAGTCTGGCCCTGCCCCAGACCTACGCTTCTGAAGCCCTACGATGCATCATGTACAGAGGTAACACACACTCACACAACACACACACACGTTATCCAATAGCAATTAGTTACACAACACTGTACATTGAAGCTTATATCCTGTCTGCACCGAGTTGTGACATCAGGCCCTATGTGTCTCCCTAAACACACACACACACACACACACACACACACACACACACACACACACACACACACACGTGTTACTTGATACTTTAGACACCTGATTCGTCCGGGATCAGCAGCGAAGTGTTCTAAATGATTCACAATGCCAGTAGTCACACACACACAGACACACGTGACTTAGTCATGGGCTTCCAGTGGAGGAGCGCGATCCTGCTCTCTCTGTCTGTCTCTGTCTGTCTGTCTCTGTCTGTCTCTGTCTGTCTCTGTCTCCTCTTTCCACCACAGTAGGGCCTGAGCCTCCATGTCAAACTGATACACACACTCTCTCTCTCTCTCTCTCTCTCGCTCTCTCTCTCTCTCTCTCTCTCTCTCTCTCTCTCTCTCTCTCCTCTCTCTCCTCTCTCTCTCTCTCTCTCTCTCTCTCTCCTTCTTCTCTCCCTCTCTCTCTCTTCTCTCTCTTCTCTCTCTCCTCTCTCTCTCTCTCTCTCTCTCTCTCTCTCTCTCCTCTCTCTCTCTCTCTCTCTCTCTCTCTCTCTCTCGTCTCTCCCTCAGGCTGGGGTCTCTCCAGGATGATGGTGTGGCGAGGCTTCGCTGTCACCCTGGGCTGGAACACTTTCTTCCTCATCCTGGCCACCGTCATCCTCAAGCTGAGGACCTGAGACGTCTACCCAGGGAACATGCCTCGAACGGTGGGAGAGCTACCAGGCGAGGCCCAGGCCCCTTCCTAGTCTCTGGATGTCTGTGTCGGGGGACACTGTGCTTTAAGGGAGAAAGTGCTGGTATACCAGAGTTCCTCTCGCAGACAGACACCCACACACACACCCTCCTCTCCCCTCCTGCTTGCCAACTCAAAGTGGCTAACCCTGAGAACCAGAGTCTATGGGTGAAGGACTACTAGGTGGGGCGAATCATTCCAAATCTTGCAGGTAGAAATCTACTTTATAGAAAGGATAGCGTTCGCTATTCCATTAGAGAGTTGTCTGCTCTTTTATGTTGTCGTATTTCGAGCTGCAATGCTTTGAATGTTTCAACCGCCTGAATATGCCCTGCAGCAATGTTTCTCAACCCAGTTGTTTAACATATCCTATTTTATTACATACAGCCCAGCTAGCACATTTGGTTCCTTGGAAGTTGTGGGAACGTATGTTTTTGGTTTCACATTGGTTGTGGGAAGGAAGCCATACTTTCCTGTCCGGTAAAACTGAAAGTTCTTCAAACGTTCTGAGAAGAGAAGGGACAATTTTGCCTGTTCTTAGAACGTTTGTTTTTAGGTTTCAGGGAAGTTCTGAGAACGTCTTACTTCTCTGAACTATTTTAGAACATTCCCAATGTCAAACCAGTTGGAGAACGTTTTTTAGAACATTACCAAAATTGAAATTAAATGTAGCCGTATTTGAACTTTTATGAAACGTTGAAATACCCCAATTTTTTTTTGGGTCAAGTTCATTAAATGTGCTGAGAATGTTCCAAAGCCAAGCAACTATGCTGCACCATTCCCAGGAAGTTGTGGTAAGGTTGTACGCAAAATAACCATAGGACAACCACGCTCTCACCAAGTTCTAAGTAACATATGGTTCTCAGAACGTTATGTGGTAGCTGGGAGTATTGTCTGATTAACACTACAGGACCAAGCCAAGCTAGTCTGGTTACGCATCCACCATAGTTGCTGGAACCGTGTTGGAAAGGACAATGAGAAAAGAACAGATCCGAGCCAGCACAGTACGGTTCAAGACGTTCCTATAGTGTGAATCAGACATCAGTCAAACTGAGGTTGAGAAACATTGTAGAGTAGGAGTGCTGATCCAGGGTCAGGTCCTCCCTGTCCATAATAATGATTTATTTTTTATGACGCAAACAGCTAAACTGATCCTAGATCCGCACTCTTACTCTGAGACGCTTGATAAATAGGGTCCCTGAACACTGTAATTTATATAGGCTGAAGAACACCCTGTACACAGTACAGCTTATAGACCTTAGGCATGTTTTACATTTACCACCTGTTTTGAACATAAGAATGCATTGATTGGAGGTTTATATTTAGAATTGTTGTTGACGTTTTATGAATAACCCCTTCTACAGTATACGTTGACTGTATTTACACAGATGATAGATATATATAGAATATTTTTTTGTGGGAACTGTGCGTAAAAAAATAACATTTGAATGTTCTTGGTATTGTCGTGTTACTGGATACAGCTACTGATGCGTGGGTAAAGAATGGCCACGACAAGAATGACTCACGTTTGATGGACGTTTACTGAAGGATCTTCTCTGATTATGATGATGTTGGGAATTTGCATGAAGATACTGGCATTCAGTACATTCAGTTCTTATACAACTGGTGGTAACACAGGCACTGTCTAGGCGCTCGGGCACAGAACGATGTCCACGTCCGTGCGATGAGCATGCAAGCAAACCTTCAACTAACTGTGGGAAAACCAGACAACTGGCTAACCTAAACATGGCACGCCCACTAACCAATGAGCGACTATCAGAACGTGCACAGTAGAACACATGGGGCAGAACAAGGGGCTATGTCATCTGCACTACAGTATGGATACAAGTGTATTTTGATGAACTGAAATGCTAAACTCAATGTTAGACACAAAAAAGAAAACATCTCTTTGCCCTCTGCTATTTCCAGGGGCCTCTGGGTCTGAATTCATAAAGCGAATGTGAAAGCGCTGATCTAGGACCAGTTTTGCAATTTAGATCACAATGAATTAGATTACATGAACAGGGGGGGACCTGATCCCAGATCAGCACTCCTAATCTGAGGTTCTTTGTGAATATGAGCTCTGGTCTCTTATCCGTATTTTGTTTTGCTTCCTGTTTCCTGTTTTGACAGGAAGTGGTGACCTTGTCTCTATTGGTTACCAGGTGCTCTAACCTCACTGTATTGGCTTGCTGCTGAAGAAGCCTTGGCTTCCGGTTGTTGGTGGTATTCTGTATTGCTGGGGTCTGTTTTGTGCCTGTGCTTGCAGCATACCCCCTATAAAAAAGGACAGGTTGATTGATTGTCCTGATGGTGATTGCATGGGGCTTTTCCCGGCGTGGTTGACTGTTCTGTCAGTGATCGTGTTTATTTTGATCTCCATTTAGGTTTTGCAGAGGCTCTTCCTGGGGTCCACAAAACGCACAACATGACAAGTAACAAAACACTGATACACTGATAGACAAGGACAGTCACACACATTTAACATACAACCATATACAAACAATACAACAACAACAACAAAGTATGTCTGTGTGTGTGTGTTACCTGAGAAGGTCATCAGCTTCCCATCACCCTTCTGCTGGACAGAGTGGTGGCTGCTGGATAAAAAGCTTGGACATGTACCGTATTGAAGAGTATACAGTCAGTTTAGTTTGAATGAATACACATCAATACAGGGACATCTCTCCAGCAGTCCAATGTCCATTCATTGCGTTGTATTACTGTTGTTGTTATAACGTATTATTCCATATGTGAAATCAAAGTGTCCATCAACAACAGATATTGAGGTCTCTTAACTTCCCTGAGCGGGATCAATCAATTGCTCTGATCCAATGGGAGCTCTCTATATATTTCAGAGAGTTTCTATTGGGTTTGGGGATGATTGACAGCAGCCCATGGTATTCTGGGGGTTCTGAGATTTCTTATTATGTATTTCTAGTGTCCATCCTTCAAGTCGTGCCATTGACCACTATTACTGAATGAGAAATATGTTTACATGCATTGAACCGACAAAGTGCTGAGGACTTGAACCGACAAAGGCTGAAAACAGCTCATGGCAGAAGGAGCTAGTTCACTTCACTCTGTTTGTTTATTGTTTATAAATACTATAATAGAGATGTTACCATGTTACATTATGAAGATAAGGCATCTATACCAGCATGTGTGTTACTGTATGAATTGGAATTGATTGATGTTTTCTGCAGAATTGTGAATTTTAGACAGTAAGGCAACTTTTCAAGGTGACTGTGGAAGTAACATTTAGTGTGCTTCCCAAATGGCACCCTATTCCCTACATAGTGCACTATTTCTGACCAAACCCGTATGGGCCCTGGTCAAAAGTAGTGCACTATATAGGGAATAGGGTGCCATTTAGAGTGCATTCTTAAACGTTCTTGTTTAACGTGGCATATTTTAGAAAAGTCAAGTTTGTATTATAGTGAGATAGTGTTATACAAATCAAGTTTCAATTGAGGAAAGTGTCATAAATATTTATATGTACCGTATTGGGGTCAAGAGAGCAAGGACCATCACGGCTGAACCTTTTGAGTTTATTAAGTGTTAATTCATGTGGAACTCCAGATCTATTGTGTTTCCTGCATTGCTCACGGTCTGTTGCCTTCTATGTGTTTGCTTGTGCTGCTATTTCCCACATCTTAAGGGACACATCCACATCCATCTGGAATGTATGTGTCTTACAAATGACATAACAGGTGTTATGAACACTTATGACTGCAGATGTTATCTTATGATGACTGACATAACACTGTCTTGACACAAATTGGAACTGGGGTTGGGAATCCCTCAAACCCTTCATCATTAGATCGTAACACTGTCATAACAGACATAACAGGTTATATATATTATGTCAGGTTATGACAACTGACTTAACACTGTCATGACACCAAATTGTTATTTAGGCCAGCTAGTTACCACTAGCCAACTAGCTTATAGATAATATTAAGACTATTCATGTCATTTGTTATGCCACTGTTATGTCAATGATATGTAGGCCTTATGCCAGGGCGTAGTGTTCAGGTAACGTGTTAGCTGCCATAATGTATAGTTTGCGTCCCAAATTGGCACCCTATTCCCTACATAGTGCACTCATTTTGACCAGACGCCAATGGGCCTTGGTCAAAAGTAGTGCACTATGAAAGCAATAGGGTGCCATTTGGGACGCAGCCATAGTGTCAGCTCTGTGACTCCACACTTCTACCTCCTCTATATTCCCCCCAAAGGGCCTGTATATATGTATCCATTCCAGACCTGGGTTCAAATACTATTTGGAATCTTTCAAATACTTTGATCCTTTGCTTTAGCCTGTTTGGAATGCGAGATGGGCGTGGTTTGCAGTTTTGCAACTATTCTATTGGTTCCATTGTGCCAGGCAAGCTCGATCAAGCCCCGCTAAAGTATTTTAAGTTACTGTATTTCAAATATACTGAACAAAAATATAAATGCAACATGTAAAGTGTTTCATGAGCTGAAATAAAAGATCCCAGAAATTTTCCATATGCACAAAAAGCTGATTTCTCTCAAATTTTGTGCACAAATTTGTTTACATCCCTGTTGGCATTTCTCTTTTGCCAAGATAATCCATCCACCTGACAGGTGTGGCATATCAAGAAGCTGATTAAACAGCATGATCATTACACAGGTGCACCTTGTGCTGGAGACAATAAAACGGCACTCTAAAATGTGCAGTTTTGCCACAGATATCTCAAGTTTTGAGGGAGCGTGCAATTGGCATGCTGACTGCAGGAATGTCAACCAGAGCTGTTGCCAGAGAATTGAATGTTCATTTCTCTACCATAAGCCGCCTCCAATGTCATTTTAGAGAATTTTGCATTACGTCCAACCGGCCTCACAACCGCAGACCACGTGTAACCACGCCAGCCCAGGACCTCCACAACTGGCTTCTTCACCTGCGGGATCGTCTGAGACCAGCCACCTGGACAGCTGATGAAACTGTGGGTTTGCACAACCGAATAATTTCTGCACAAACTGTCGGAAACCGTCTCAGGGAAGCTCATCAGTGTGCTCGTCGTCCTCACCACGGTCTTGACCTGACTGCAGTTTGGCGTCGTAACCGACTTCAGTGGGCAAATGCTCACCTTTGATGGCCACTGGCACGCTGGAAAAGTGTGCTCTTCACAGATGTGTCCCGGTTTCAACTATACCGGGCAGATGGCAGACAGCGTGTATGGCTTCGTGTGGGCGAGCGGTTTGCTGATGTCAACATTGTGAACAGAGTGCCCCATGGTGGCGGTGGGGTTATGGTATGGGCAGGCATTACCTACGGACAACAAACACAATTGCATTTTATTGATGGCAATTTGAATGCACAGAGATACCGTGATGAGATCCTGAGGCCCATTGTCGTGCCATTCATCCACAGCCACCTCATG